TCCGGCATGCCATGAGCGTATATGCGAAGAATTATTCACTGCCAATGGACACCATGCCCCGAAGGCTCACCTATATCCGTAAGAGCACATCTGGACGCACTCAAGCTACACTTTGCCTGACAAAAGCCTTTTCCGAACGTAGCGTCAAATTCTAAGCGCTCAAACTGATGGTTGCTTGCAAGCATCGAAGATAGTCTGGGGATTCAGTGAACTTCCAGTGCATATACTTGGTGCCGTTGTAGAAGTCAGAAAGGGGAATGCGGCCTGCACGCGCATTCCAAAGGAGTTGCCCATTTGAGTGAAGGAGTTGCAACGCCCATTGCCAGCAATCAGTTGCCTGCTTTCCGACTGCCACCCTCCATGCTGATCAGCGTGGTCTTCAAATCCTTGCATTCCTGGCAGGTAAATCGGCCATCTCAAAAAACGAATTCGCCATAGGCCCGCAGCAGCCAGCAACAGCCATGCAATCAAGGCCAAGCCTTGTCATTGAAGCTGGGGAACTCGTAGCCGAAGGCTTCGGCAGCATCGCCGACGGATGAAAAGTTGTAGAGGCCCTGAGCATCTGAATGGAAGTGCCTGGCGCCATCGAGCTCAAGGCAGCCGGCGAGAAAAAACTGTAAGCCTTGCCTATGGCTATGAACTTTAAGAGTTGGAACCTCAAAAGCGGCTGGTGGACCTGATTCCCACCGGATTTTGATGTGCACCAACGGGTCCCTAAACCAAAAATAACTGGGGGGGGGGGGGGGGGGAAAACCACCGCATCTGGTTTTGGTATTCTCCGTTCCCCCCCGTCTCCTCTTCTCCAGGTCCTCCAGCCACGACTTCATCTCCCCATAGCCGTTGTAGCGCTTCTGGAAGGCCATGATCCGCTTCCGGTTCTTCGGGGCGTCCGCCATGGTGATGTTCCGCGCCGTCAGCACCACCACGAGGTACATGTCCTCTGCCACGTCCGTGGTATTTTTGTCCCGGATGTTAGACATATTTGGTAAAACATACGTTTATATGTTGATTGTTTTAATTTGTATGGAAGGGGGTGTGTTTGGTGGAAAATACTTTTGGTGAGGGGATGCGTCAAAGTTTCAAGGTTGGATTCTCAAATGGCGCAATGGCCTTTCTCCTTTTGGGTGTCCTTCCTTTACCAAAATGAGTACGCTCAAAAAGACGGGAGCGGAATGACGAATTGTTTCACAATACTTTACATATATATATATATATATATGGATATATGTCAATGCATTACTTTACACCTTCGAAGGTTTCTGTTGCCCAAATGCGAGCCAAATTGACAAATCATGCCCCCTGGCTGCCACTTTGCAGGCTGACAAAACGAAACCCCGCGGTCCATGGCGACTTCTGCATCTGCTCTCGTCAGCGGCTCGGTCCTCGACAAGGGGGACAGTGCAAACTTGGCACGTGCCCATCATCCCACTGCTTGCACCTGGCCTGGAATCGCCTTCCCAGCCTCCTTTTGCCCGAGCAAAGGCAAAGTTGTAATAGGGTGTGTCCATCACATGAGTAAGGAATGTGGGGGGGGATATGCCACGGACAGATCGAATCGCAAGCTGAGAATCAAAGGAAAGTTCAAGGACTCGTAGACCTTGGCCAGCTGCTTGTGGGACTCCTAGAGTCGCTTCCCTTTGGGCAAATATCCACCCAAGGTCCGTCAGGGTAGGACAAAATTTAGGTCTGTTTCAAAATAGGGGCCCCTTTTCCGGATGCGGTTGCAGGGAAACCAAAACAAATCAAGACACACCCTTGGAATTCTTGGGCCAATAAGGGCCCACGACTGTCAACACGGGAGTGAACTGCACCGTTGCACGGAAAGCTTTCCGAGCGCTAAACATGTTGCACGCTTCTAGTGATGACTGCACAAATGGCACGGGCAATGAAAAATGCCAGAATCATGGAAGGCCAAGATGGGCAAAGTAGTTTGGTTACGGGCGCAGGGGTTGCCATGTGCTTTCGGCAACACTGCGCGGTTCCCCCGCGGAAATGCATACGTTCCAGTGGAACCTGATGCTCTCCCGGAAAACCACGTACATTTTGCAATTGCAACCCTGGAACGGCTTGAATCGCAAATGTGTTTCAATGCATATCTATATAAAGCTGGCATGCATCCAAGAGAGACCGTCGGCAAAAGACAATGAGTGTGTTTCTGAGTAGGCGTTGCAAACTCAGTCCACTCATAGATGGCCATGAGGAGTTCAAGAAAATCGGGTGCCTGCATTCGTGCCCTCCCCCCCTGCTGAGGTGATTCCAAGAAGCTCGCAGGCCAAAAGCTGGCCGAGTCAGACTGAAGGTGCAAAAGGCCCGGCGTGCTTATGACTTACAAACATTGGGGCCCGGGTTGATCAAAAGGTCCGTGATACATGGGATGATCATTGGTTGGAAAACCGCTTTAAACAAATATAGCCAGGCATGGTTATCTGGGGGCCAGAAATATTGACCGACGCCCAACTAAACATGTGCGCATGAACCACTTGTGCTGCATGCGAGCGCGTTGCCAAACGCATGGCACGACCAATCCACGCGGGGACGGATGCTCGTGGACGAAGTCTGCGTGTCCATGCTTGAAACTACGCATGCCACTGGCGCTGCGTGTGGGCGTGCTTATCATCAGGCGAGCATGCCTGGAGCACGGATGCAGGTGAACGAAGCATGTTTATCAAGCGTGCCAACAAAAGTGAATCGATCTACGGCCATCTATCGCATGAGACGTAGTCCAACTACCACCTCGGACCTTCAAAGAAAAGTTGGGCGACAAGGCGGCAGGACCCTTGAAGAGGGGGTCGTGCACTATATCTCCCCCTTCCGAAAAACATCCGACGAGTGAGTGACAGGAGTTGCCGGCCATCTTTCTGTGCTAGCTTTATGCATGCTGATGCGGTAGGTAGGGAATGACGACGAGGTTCTTTTGGTGCGATAGGTAGGGAATGACCTTTTGGGTTCTGCGAATGAACCTAGGGGATTCCCTTGAAAGTTTCGAAAGCATAGGAGGTCATTCCCTCATTCCCTGCTGAGAAACTGCAATGACGTCCCGCCACGGGTCATTCCATTTCATTCCTTCCCCCTATCGAAGCGATCGCAAGTCGGCCGCAAGTCCGTGCGAACCAGTGCTTCGATGGCCGCGACCATCTCAGCCAGATCGCGCAACCCCATTCCTGGCTTCCCACTGCTCGAGGATCCATAGGGCCGTGTGTTCTTAGGGAACCCTCCCACCACTTGACACATGGATCACTATGGGTGACCTATGGGCGTAAGTTGGTAGCTTGGGATTTACCCTCCCACCCTTTTCACACATGGAACCTAACGTTCGGGACCTTCCTTTCCGGTCCCTTTGTGAGGAACATGGTCCAAACCAGGACTCCTCGAACGTCAGGTTCCACGTTAATGGGTGGGAGGCTACCCTTTTTGGTTGGTTTTCAAGGTTAACCAAAAGGAAACCCTTGCCATTTTGGGGGTCTTAAAAAAAGAGAGTTTCTACTGAGCACTGAACCATGCAAGTGTCTATTGGCCTATGAGCCCACCTCTGAGCAAAGGTAGCCTAGGCGAACATATCAAATCTCAAGGAACCAGGCTGTGGACGCCAGAAAGCAAAGCGACATCCCGCAGCCGCGCCTGCACCCTCTGCCTCCAAACGCTTCTCAAGGTAGGCAGGCACCCAGCTTTCCCAATCCTCAGCTGCAACATCCAGCCAACTTGCAAATAGCAGCACTCAAGGCAACTTCCACGCAGTTGTGATGGGGAGAACCGGCAAGAGCACACAACCCACCCACCCCTCCCCCCGACACATGCACATGCCGAGATACTTGTCGAATCCGGTCTGGCTGTGTCTTGTAAGCACCTTGCAAAACAGAGTGGTGCTCAAACCTTTTCCAAAACCTGACGTCAACCGCTCAACAACTGACTGGCCCGCCTTCCGGCTCCAGGCCCTTCACCAGCCAGCCTCTGTAATGGAGGAAGTAGCGGTGAAGCACATAGCGCACCACGTGGTGGCTCAGCAAGCCATTCTGCTTGGGCAGCGCTTGGAAGGTTGGCTCCAGCGCCTTTTCCAGTGCTCGGATCTTCTCGACGTCGGCCATCTCCGCAGTGAGAGCTGCGTCCACTTCTCGGTGACTGAAGTACTCCAAATCCATGAACTTTGTGTTTGACCCGCCTGGGCTGCCCGTTTTCAGATCCCTGGCTAAAAGTTTTATTTGTGGGTTAAATGGAACCCAAGCACTGATCCCCTGCTAAAGTGACTAAATGTTGGTGGGTTATATGCACACGCAACCACCAAAGCAACCAAAAAGTTAAAAGAAACATCTCTCGAACCGGATGGCTGCGAACCAAGCCACGCATGTTCCCCTCGCCCAGCACAAAGGCGGGCAGCGTGAGGATCAGGCCAAACAGAACGCCTGCCATGGCCTTGTGAAATGTATGGTAGTTTGTCAGAACTACAAAGGCTAAAGGAACCTCGTCCTTGCCGTCAGAAGACAGCTGCCGAAGTCGGACATGAAACAAGCTAGTTGACCAACGCTTCCTTGTAGCACGGTTCAAGCCTCGGCATAAAATATGCGCCCACAACGTCCACCATGCTACCAAAGCCCTATCCCTTCTTGGAGCCCGCACCTGGATCGGCTTGCCTGCAAGGCAACGCAAGCGTTTGCATAAAGTCACACAGCTCAGCAAAAAAATGCATCTTGTCGCATCCGCGCCATTCTCTTTTCTATCGAATGTTTGGCCTGGCCTGGAAGGAGGAGGTTGGCAATGGCTGGTCCGGCCTGGGCATCTGATTGTTCGAATTTCTGGGCGGCCCGAGGTGATCACAAGCCCTGCAAGTGCACTTGGCGCCGCGCGCCATGCCAATTGGCCGCCGTGACGGGGCCACAGGTGCAGCCGTCGCCGGAGCATCCCAAGGCCTGGCACATGTGACATAAAACGACGACGGGATCGATCAAAGGTCCTTTCACGCTCTTCGCATGGGATGACCATTGATTGCAGCACCACGAAAACGATTTGATATTTCAACATGGAAAAAATCGCCATGATCAAAACTGGGGGCCCAAAATGGGAAGATTGATCAACCACATCCAGTAACCCGCAGCCCTCGCAAAAAGTCCAGGAGCTGATCTCTGTCGTGTTGCCTTCTCAACCAATGGCGCACTGCGTCATTAGAACCCGCCAAAACGAAACACGCCACCAGCTTCTGCGCTTGTGAAAACCAGGCCTCTCGGAACCTATGAACCGAGCTATTTTTTGGAGCCTGGGATAAGCCAAGAATAAGCGCAGGCCAAACTTGAGGCGTGAATTTGGGAGTTCCGCCCCTCCCCATAGATAGGTGGAGGAAAATAGATGGGTTTCCCTGGTAAATGGAATTGTTCCCACATCTAAACCAGGGCCCAATGCCAACCAAAAAGGACACCTAACACTTTGATCTGGCCTCCACTCCGCCTCAACGGCACGGACGTTCCGTGGCCTTCCGTCGGTTTGCGCTGGCCATCATCAAAACCCGATGGGTATGAACATGGCCTCTGTGTCTGGCAGCCTGCGGAAAAATGAACAGAACCACATAAAGTCAAATAAACAACTACCCTTCCAAATAAATTAACATGGAACCCGACGTTCGGGACCGGTCATTTCAAAGGAAAATGGTCCAAACCAGGGAATGGCAGGGGTCCATGAGAATTGGTTGGAGGGTAAAATGGTCGTTTTCCAGAACCCGAATTTTCGATTGGCGGATATCTGCACCCAGTTTTGGTTGGGACTGTCCCTTACCTCATCTACCCAAGTGTTGAGGACCCTGCGTCTGTTGCTTCGCAAGGCTGGCAGCGACGAAGGCTGAGGGATTCCTCACCTTGGACGTGCGTGCCAAGGAAGAACGGCTGTGGCAAAAAAAGAACTCGTTCCCTCAAAATGGCGAGGATGTCATTTTGGTTTCCTTTTTAACCCAGAACAAAAAGGGTTCCCCCCCAAAAAAGAAAACACTCCCATGGTTCTCTATTGGCACGAATATTCGCACGCAGTTTTGCACCTCCAGAGCAGTCAATGCCAGCCCCGGCAGGTGTGCAAAAGCAGCAAGCCGCTGGTTTTGACAGTCTAACTCGCAGTTGAAGCAACTTGGCCTTGATTCAGAACAGGCGCCTGCTGTTGCAAAATGCGTTGAAACATGAGAGCAAAGAAGCGTAGAAGAGTTCAGCCTGGACCGTCTTGGAGGTTTCAGGCAGTCGAAGCTGCGCAAATCAAACTGCGTCTTGATGGGGCATAAAAAAGCCGTTTCGGCATGGGAAAACCAGGGAATCGCGGGGCTCAGTGCTTCTGCCCTTTTGTGGAGCCATAAACAGACTTGCCATCTAAACCTTCTAAACTTGGAAGGTTGACCAGGAAGTGCAGTGGGAAACCTCCAGCCAAGCCCAAGGGAGAACAGGAAAGGAACCCGTTCGCTGAGGCCCCCGCGTCCCGTTTAGTGACGAGATCCTCCTGTCAAACAAACGCGATGGGCCCAAGCCATGCTGCGCATGCTGAAGCGATTCTTGGGGCGCAGCCAACACTTCGAGCGCACGTTCAGGAGCACAAGCCTACGTGCACAGCAAAGAGCAAACTGCGGTTACACAGCGTGTCAGCGCCTCCAGCGAGTTTAGGGCGGCTTGGTCCAGTTGCAGCTGCGGGTACATCGCCAGCCTGGGGAAGTGTCAAGCATGGAAAAGCTTGGCCAAGCAACGGGGGCAAACGAAAAACGAAAATGCGCTGTGGTTGGTCAGGGCAGGGCAGTCGATGCACAGGATCCACTGAAAGAACTGGAGCTGGAGAAGACTTCCGCCTCAAGACTTGCCAATGGAAACCAGCTGAAACTGGATCTGGCACGCCCGTTTGCTGGAGACCGAGGCATGAGCGAAGTTGGAAAGTCCACAAGCGCCTCACTTGAAGCACGTTGGACTGGGCTTCGTTCCAGCTGTCTGCGACTTCTCAGCTTCACTAGCAAAGGGTTCATGCAAATCCGCCAACTTTGCTCAGCGAAAAATCAATGACACGCAGCGTGCAGCCGGCCCGGCAATCCCCTGCCCCCTCCCCCCCGGTGCAAATAATAGGGTGGAGAGGGGGTCAGGCAAAAACCCAATACAAATACACACACACAGACACACAGACACACAGACACACAAACACACAGACACACAGACACACATACACACATACACACATATACACATATACACATACACATGCACACACACAAAACACAACAAAAGAGCCACGTTGAGAATGTCGGCAGCCTGAGCCGGAGGCCCTAAGTTTCGGTGCCCTGATTCTAAATCTCTGCTTTCAAAGCCTCCTTAAGCCATGCGCTTTCACCACAAAGGCTGAAGGATTTCGGACATCTGTCCTGATGTCCAGTTCCTCGCGAGGCCGACATTAGCTTTAGCAAAACACTGAGAGCCGGGAAATGGACAGCTGTGTTCCTGCATGGGTGTGGATGTTTTTTGGGGGTCCCCCTTTTTGGGTCGGTTGAAAGGGAAATCAAAGGGAAACTAATATGTACCGTATGTGTCAGTCGCAAAAACTATTGAGAAGTCCATGCTTGCCACCAGGACTGGTTACCGCATGCTAGTAGAGCTGCGGCGTCATTGCAAAGGGATGTTCAACCCGTCATCGTTCACTTTGTCTTCTCCCCTCCATGCTCTTTCCTCCTCTCCAATCTGCGAACTCTGCGAAAACGCAATTCACAAGTCAGCTCTGCCCCTCAAATACGCACACGCCCACATTCTCACCCTAAACCCCAACGCTTCCAATTGAAATCGACTGGAGTACTGAGACACTCCATGGGCGTGAGCCCAAAGGGCCGACCCCAGTCCTCTACAATCTCCTGCACCCGGACTGGATCCTCGGACACCCAAGTCAAGCTGCACAAAGGCCAGCTCGCGTGTCGCCGTAGCCGCCCCATGGGAAAGGGACACAAACACGTCAAACCATGGTTGACATGTTTGTTGAAGGAGCTCAAAAGTACAAAAAGTACCCGGCGAAAGCAATATCACCAGGATGATATACATGTCAAGTGCAGAAATTATCTGTTGAAAACATTGCAAGCATGCCAAAAGCAAACTCTTGTTTGCCAGGCGGTTCCCGGAAGCCTTATGAGAATCAAGTAGAACATGCATGTGTCTCCCTTTCTAGCCCGCTGTTCCAGTGGCAATGTCAAAATTAAGCCACCGGGGGACTGCAGGATCGTATTCACTACTTACGCCTATGCGCCTACGTGGCCCAATCACCCGTGGCCCCCTCAATGGTCACAAACAATACCGCAGGCATTGCTCTCTGTGACCATCTAGACAAGTGGAAAGGCAAGAGTGACCAGTCGTGAATGCACAACGCACACTCTTGAAAATATTCAAGCTGATGCAATAGAACCCTGCAAATTTAGGCAAGCCACACCAAACCAAGTTGTTTCAAACAATCAAACAATGCCCTGCTGATGTTGCTGAGCCGGGCACAGACTCTGCCATCTTCCTTAGGGCCTGGTCAGAAAGTAATCGGCTGGCTCCTTCTCGCTCTCACATTCTTGCTCGCCCTCTCCCTTTCTACCTACCCGCCACTCGAACATACGTAGTAATATACACCTACACCTATACAATCTATCTATCTATCTATCTAGCTATCTATCTATCTATCTGTTTCTCAATGTCTCTCTCTCTCTCTCTATTCATCCGTCCATCCATCCGTCCGTCCGTCCGTCCGTCCGTCTGTCGGTCTGTCTCTGTCTGTCTGTCTGTCTGTGTCTGTCTGTCTATCTCTCTGTCTCTCTCTCTCTCTCTCTCTCGCTGTCTCTCTCTCTCTCTCTCTCTGTCTCTCTGTCTGTCTGTGCTGATTCAGTCAAAGGGTCCTTCCAAAACAACGAGTACATGAATCCCTAGTAAAGCTGTGCAGCTGCGTGCCTGGTTGTCAAGGCGCTGCTGCAAATGCGGGAATCTGGCCAGCAATTGCCCCACCTTGCCCAAATCCATACAGCACACAGCACGCGACTCTGCAGACACCACGCCAAAAAAACAAATCCCCCCCGGCCCCTCAGCCTCTTCCAGTCATACAAGCTCTTTGCACAGTAATGGCATGCATGCACCAAACAGTTTGACTGCAGCTTCTCAAACGTTGCATCCCGCGCCTCATCTCGGGGCACGTCCAGCCCTTGGAACCCCAGCAGCTGGAGGTTTTGGAGCCCTTGTAGCTGAAGCTGCGCTGCCAGCTGCACCCCCGGCTGTGCCGCCAGCTGTGCCCAGTCCGGCAACGTCACCAGCGGCGCAACCGGAGCGGCGGGGGGTCGATCCCGGGTGATGGACAAGGCCTACCATCGCGCCGAAGGCGCGCGTGGGTGTTTTTCCATTGCGTTTCAAATTTGCATCCCGTCCTTCATGACGAATGCTGAAGGATTGTGCACATCACCGCGGTAGATGATATCACCCAGAATGCCTCTTGCTCGCTCCGGGTCCTCAGTGAATGAACGCTTCAAGGGTAAAGTAAGTGCTTGCTGGGTGCGCGAATGCCTGACAACTGAGCCAAGCACGACTTCTAAAATCCTGGCATAAATTCAACATATACTCAGTTGCCCAAAGGACCCAGAAACAAAAGGCTAACCATTTGGGACCATGACTAAATGTAGACAAACAAATGGAAAAAAAGGCCAAAAGGTCGGCTTTGAACAACTGAGTACGTGGAAGTGTTCAATCGTCAACAAGCCGCAACAAGCTAGGTTCGCCTTTGCTGCGCTCTTGCATCTAGCTGCTGTGCAATCCTTGTGCGATGGCATGAGCGGCTATACCCAACTTTCTAAGGGCCAACTTGCATGCCGCAAATGGACACCCCCCCCAAAATTAGTGGTTATACGTGGGTCATACAGGGCACATACCCCAAAAGCAGCCGTATGTCCATTGGGGTATGTAAGATGGCCCTTTGAAACTTGGTAAAATGTGGTCTGCTATTGGCCTACCTCCGAGCTGGGGGTCGAACGCCGGAAAAGCGTCCAGCACGGTCTCACAGGGCAGATTCAAGGTCGCACATAGGTCGCATGTGAGTGGATCCAAATTTTCCTGGTTTTGTGGAGGGCTTGCCACCCGACACAAGCAAAAGGAAGTCGTGAAGGGATACCTACTATACGGCCGAAACTTCTGGGACCTGGGCCCAGCCTCCGGCCCAGCCAAGCGGGCTTGCACTGCTTGAACTGCTGGCAAAGCATTCGCATTCGGCTGCGTTGCTTGGCTCCTCGAAAGCCAAAGCAAAACCAAACGTGACCTTTTGGACAAATAGATGGCCCAACTGCATAAACCAGTGCCATCTTTCCATTCGACCTCGTAGAAGGACGCCTATAAGCAAAACACAACTCAAGCACAGCTTGTGCTCTGCAAGTGAGTCTGCAGAATTCACCGGACAGTTCGAAGTCAATTGTAATATTACCAAGGGCGAGCTTTCCCGGCACGCGCCAATGATGGGAGCAACATCCACGCCCCTCCTTCCCAAAGCATGCACAACGAAGGCCGATGGATTGCGTACCTGCGGGCATCTCCAGGCACACGTGGGCAAACGGACTTCATGACCAAACATGCTCTTGACCCCAGGCAATCTTTGCATGCTTCTGACCAGTCCGTCCATCTGAGGCAAAATAGGGAAACAGCTGGGGCACGTCGGATCGACCTGCTAGCTCCTCTATCAGCTCGGTCGCCCGCCCAAAATCTACCTGACTTCAGCCAACGCCAAAGTCCGAATCCTGGACTTCTGCCTTATCTCAGTTGTCCCTTAGGGACCGCATTAAATAAAGGTGATCACCTTTTGGAGCCATGACTGAACATGGGGACCCAACATGGGAAAACCAAAGGGTCTTTTCAGGTCGATTCGCGTTGGACAAGTGAGTTATCATCTACAAACAGGCTGGACTTGGCATCAAGAGCGCCAGCTCGAGAGCCACAAAACCCACCGAGCCTCCGCTAAGCGCCGGCGAGCACTTTCGTCCAGGACCTGGATAGACCCAAAACTACCCACCCACCCACCCAGCCAGCCACCCACCTAGCCAGTTATTCACCCACGCATCTACCCAAACGATGTAACCGCAATTTCCCCCTCGCATTCCTCATGCCTTGTCCAACTCAGGAAACCTTTGGATCACCTCTTGGATGGTCCTGCGCAAGGGCGCAGCAAGCCCAGGTAAAGGGATTCGGCTAGCTTGCTGCCACTAGTCTGGGCCCTCTTTATACATAAATGCAGCGAGTCCAACCAATAAAGAGCATAGTCAAAACAACACTTAACCATTTCTGCAATTAAAATTTAGCCGGGAGCGAAGCTCCAAATGGGAAGGCTTCACAGTGAACGGTTTCAACCTGGGAGCTGCAATTTCGGCAGTTCTAGCGGGCCACCTTTTGGTGGACATGTGAACTGGGTCGCCTCTTGGTGCCCTCGACTGTTTGTCAGAGTTCATTTTGTATCAAACATTCCCCAGGCCACATTTGCTTCTTGAAGAACCAACCAGCCCTTCAAGTGCAACACAAAACCTTTTGCGTCACATGTCTCGGCCAGCTTCTAAAGAATCAAACAGTTCCAAACATGTTGGCAAGCTATAGGTTTGAAACGAGCAACATCCTTGTGAACCCCAAGGATCGCCGCCCAAGGACCCCTTGGTGGTGCAGGGAAAGGCTCTTGAGGCCCAAAGAGCAGTCCCAAACGTGAGTGGTCCCCAATTTTGTGAGAGCAAGAAATCCCCCTGATTGACTGTGGCAATTGGAGAAAATGGTCACGAAAGTCAGTTGTGATCTAGCTGGGCCCGTCTTCTTTTTTTGAGGCTACCCCTTCTTGCTGGGGTTTTTGAAGGTCCAAAGCCCAAGAGCAAAGCAACACACGGACCCCAAGTCTCCTGGCTTGTGAAAGGCTGGCGGGTGGCACTGCTTGACTATGTCGCGGCGCATTCTGACGATCGGTGCGACAGAACTTGCGATCGGTGCGAACAACGAGTTTCCGGGTGTTGGTTGAATAAACCGGTTTTGGGGAGTCCCGAAAGGACACCATCTGGCTGGCTCATTGAAAGCGGGGTCCTTCCACTTCGCATTTTTTCAGTTTGTGGGACTCACCCGGTTTTGGAACCGGATTCCCTTAAAGGAAACTTATAGGAGAGGTCTTTTTCCCCGAGGTTCCATTTGGCCATGGGTCAAAAGCCCGTATTTCCAGTGAACATCAACCAATCCCCACAAAATAGACTAAAATGGGTGGTGCATTGGAGGTGTCTGGGATCGGAAGCACGGCGGGCCGCCTTGGCCAAGGTGGCCGCAACAAAGGCCGAGGGATTTCGGACCTCAGGCAGCGGTTGAATCGCGCCTTGTCTCACCCCTTTTGCCGCGGAAGTGTTTCGGGCAAGCGGGTTCTCTGCAGAAAAGTGTTTTTCACTTTTTTGTCTTTTTCCGCCCCCTCCTTCAACCAGTTGCCTTAAGCGATTTTCTGAAAAGTTGATGTCCTCTTCACAGCAAAACATTCACAGAAAGCGACAAGTCAAGCGAAGTGATTTGGTGAAAATTCCAATTTCCGAACTTCTGGCACAGTGAGTGGCTTGGCGTATTCTCGAAGCAACGGAAGCCCTTCTCACTTTCAACACAAACAGCGGGAACATGCGGGAACAACCCGCACTGAGCTGGGAATCAACGGCAAGCCCGTGTCACTTTCAGGCGCCTAAAAGTCTCTTTTCAAAACTAGCCCAAAACGGTTCGAGCATAAAGTATGGACAGTCCATTTCCCTTCCAACTGGTGATAGAAGCCAATCGGGACAGCACAGCTGCCTTAGGTTGCGACATCCGTTTTGGCTGCCAAGTCGTTAAGGACCTGGAGGCAGCACAAGGCTTCCCTGTATGAGCCAGAAACTGTGGATTGTTGTGAATTCCAAAAATCACACCACGAAATGAAACCATGGGAATGAAACCGTAAGTAGCGCTTGCTTTGTACGTTGGGTGCTCGTATCAGAACCAGGGTTTCTGAACAGTGCGAAATGGACTTCGCAACCATCCACAGTATGACGAATGGAACGCTTGCTTCGCCAGCTCCCATGCAGGAATTCTCCTGCACAGCGCGCTCCGGATCTGCTCTGGCCAGGATTTTCAGCGCGCCCTGACGTCGGTGTTCGGCCCTAGGTCTACTTCATGAAGGTCCCAAATCTCAAGCAGGTAACATCGTATGGTGCAGTCTTTCTTTGTTCCTTTCCAACCAAACCACAAAGGGGTACACCAACCCATATACACCAATCAAATCACAGCGTCGGACGAAAAACCAGAGGTCGAACACAATGTCTCAAACATGTACTTGCAATCTCTACATTGCCCTTAGTTCGAAAGGCAGGGGCGTTGGCTGACAATTGCAGTACAGGTGTCCAAACTCGCACAGACCGCAAATCCTGGCTTGTTCCGAGATGTGCGCCGTGGCTGCAAATTGTAGGGGGGAGTGCTGCTGCAGCACAGTGGTTGCAAGCAAAACTATCTATACACATCTATGGCGGACCTGCTTGGCAGCGCTGCACGCACTCAGGCATGACTCAACTTGCATCTGGCTCACCAGTCACCCTGGCCCTCATTCTTCCCGGACGCATGGGCGAGGCCATGTCACTTGATGCGCTCGGACAAATCTCGTGTTGTCCCGCTTGATCGAGCAGGTCCGGAATTGGCGGCAAAGCTGGAATCCACAAAAGTCAACGACTTGCCCAGTTCAACCACTAAGCCTCCGTCTCACTCTCACAGCTCCGCCTTCTCGCCTTCCAAATCCTGCCAGGACTCTGGCCACTGGGCTGTCCGTTTTCAGATCTGCTAAAAGAGACTAACTTGTGGGTTCAAATTCGGAAAGTTTACCACGAAACCTAAAAAGATTAGAAGAAAAAAAGCGAAGTTGCCACGGAGGGCTGGGAGCCAATCAAAATCAAGCTCACTCGGTTGTCAATCCTCATCTTCACCTTCGTCGCTCAACTGACTCTCCGGCCGGTCCTAGGCGCGACGTCAGAAACACTCATTCTCTGGGGACATGGCGAAGGGCGTGTCTTTTTAAAGGTTGACCCCCCAAAAATGCGGTGTTCCTTTTGGTCCTCCATGAAAACCACAAACAAAGGAACCTGGACGCTCCAGGTACCCTTAAAAAGGGCAAGCACCCCATAATTATGGGGCAATCATCAATTTTCACAAGTTGTTGGAGGGTCCAGGTACCCTGTAAACAAGACACCCAGAAAGTGCTGTGCGACTGGCTGACTGCTTATTCCTGCTCAGGTGCTGGATCTAAAGGAGAGAAACGGCCAGATCGCCACACTATGTCACACCTTGGCACCAGGGAAGGCGTTGGGCAAAAAAAAAAAAAACGCTTCCACTATACCCCCCACTCCAACTACCCTTTTCAGGGTAGTTTGTTGAAAAACCTGGTTTCCCATGGAAACTATATATATATATATATCCTTTTCTAGTAGAGTGTTGACATGATACAACAAAGTATTTGGAGCAGGGAGTAGTTGCTGCCAAGTGAAGTGGACACGGTGCAAAGTATTGAAGGACAATGGTTGCCCACATTGAGAAAACATGTGCTAGAAAGCGTGCGTCAGCGAACTCATGAGCCAGCCAAGGTGCCACTCTCGGAGTGTAACATCTGTATCCAACGGGAGCTTGGATTGTTGGGACATCCGTAGAATCATCTGATCTCCTTGTTCCGCAAGCCTCTTGTAGTACTCCTGAGACTGCGCAGGCACCCCGGCTTCTACTGCGGCCAGCACTTCCATGGGGACACTGACGCATCAATAAACGCTTCACAACTGAGGGTGTGCCTGTTTGGTATTTTTCAATTGACAACAAAAAGCAAACCACCAAAAATGGCGGGGGGAACCACTTAAAAAAAACAAGCGCAAACACAAACACAAACACAAGCACAGACACAGACACAAACACACACACAAACACACACACACACACACACACACACACACACACACACACACACACACACACACACACACACACACACACACACACACACACACACACACACACACACACACACACACACACACAGAGACAGACACACGTGGCTGATGAACAGTTAGATGCCATGCAGCGCCGGCTTTGCTGCAAGACACGCGTCTGGCTCTTTCAATTTCAGTCAAGCCACGGAATTCTGCTGAACAGACTCCATCTGTTTGAAGACACTTCCAAAGTCTTGCTGAAGCTCCATCTTCAGCTCGAGCTTCATGCGCTCCTTCTTGGAGAGCTTTTCATTCGCTTGGGCAGCTTTCTGGACGCGCCCAGACGCCTGCCCTGCGATTTTGTCAGTCAGGAGCTTGCTCATCTCACCCAACTTCCTGCACGGGTGGCTTGTTTTAGAAGGTCGACCTTGTCAATCGCAAAGACCGATGTGCAGACCAGGCCCAAAACACAACTCAGGCATGTAACATCTACGTCCTCGTACGTCGCTTCCCAGCTTGCTGGAACATCTCTGCGCTTTCTTCTGTGCACTTCTTCACATCGTTTTGCCAAACCTCCTGCCAATTCCTGCAGCAGGAAAAGAACACACAACAACATGCCGGCTGCCATGCAATGTGAGGGAAGACAGGAGCGGGGAAAGAAGGGGGCAGGCAGAACACGAGGAGTCGGGGGGCCACCTCCTGACTAGCATTTCCAATGAAGACCAAGCGCTCGGGGGGTCAGCTTTGACTAGGCATGACTGGAAGCTGGAAGCTCGGACATACATCTTGTAGCGCACCGCCACACACACAAATATCAGGCGCAAAAAAAGGCGTGCAAGCCACGACTGGGTTGCTTCGCTGACTAGGGCGTGAACGACTGACCGCGAGAACACGCAGGAGTCATTAGTGGTGGTTGTTATCTCCATTAAGTTTCCGCGAGGGAAGTCGTGTGCACGGTTTGCTAGTAACAGCAGAACGCAAGTCTGGAAAAACACATCAATAACGTCCCTTCCGCGAGCTTGCGCGGGAAACAACTTCCGCAAGGCTTCCGCGGCTGCAGTGCGGTGCTACCATTCTTGTTGAATGCCAACATCTATACACTGTTGCTTGAGCGTGCAAAAACCGCCAGTCATATGTGCAAACGCATCAAATAAAGCTATATATATATATATATATTATTATTGTAATATGTTATATGTGTGCGTACGTTTGTTATAAATATACACCTGTCTACACATACATGCCGTGGCAACATTGACCTTCGGGATGCTTCCAAGATGCGGCTTTATGCCGACCTTCTCTGGCGATGACAGCGGCAGTAGCAACATGAGCGCAAGAATGCGCAGCATGTCGCAACAAGTCAACTGATGTTTCGTCGGTTCCAGTCCAACCCTTTGTAGCCTCTTGTTTGTGCAGTCCTCATACAAACATGAACACGGCTGAAAAACTTAAAAACCTAAACACATGACCCAACAGTGAAAATGCAATGTATTGTTTTGAACTCGCCAAATTTGCACGTTCTCAATTGGCAGCCGAAAAAGCTTGAGCCACAAATCTGCGCCGGCGCAATGGGGCAATGGCGCAGCTGGGAAAACGAGACGGGCCTGTGGGTCAAGAGTTAGCCTCCCACCAATGAACATGGAACCTGACGTAACTAGGGGTCCTTGTAGAAGGACCATTTTCCTTTTGAAGGGACCGGAAAGGTCCCGAGCGTCAGGTTCCACGTGAAAAGGGCGGGAGGGCACTTTGCACGTCAATGCGTCTCCCACTCACTCCACTCACTTCACTGCACTGAACTCACTTCAAGAGTTTCTTTGCCAGTCAAGAACTTCAAACTGCCAAGTGCCTCGTGGGCCTCGTGGGCCGATATGCTCACCGGTCCGGTCAGTGAACTGCTCACGCCACCCTCTGCCTCATCCAAGCGGTTGCGCAGTCCAGGCGACAGCTGGAACGCCTGCAGGCCGAGCTTCATTTGCGGATGGGACCTGGACATGGACCAAAATGGACCAAACAGGACCAAGGGTTAACCTTTTGGCAATTTGGGTTGCCATGACAAAAGAATGGGGGAACCCAACATGGGAAAAGGGTCAAAACATCGATCCGCTGTGGACAAGTGAGTCAATGCCTCGAACAGCTATCCCCCTTTGCATCACTGTAACACATCTCATCTCAACCCATGCATCTGTCATGACATGCGCCTTACTGACCACGGAAACTCAATCCTATGAGAAGGCGGCACTTAAGCGCGGGGCAGCTTCCACTTCCGCTGGCAGCGCCATCCAGGCGCTGGGAGTTCGGGTCGGGCCCCGCTCTTGTGCGTCTGGTTCTTTTCGTGGCTCACAGGCGCTGGCACACAACCCCCGTGTCACAATCTTCTGCTTCCAAGGGGCCCCCCAAACAAAAAAGCAAGTCCACCCGGTTTGACGAGAACCAATTCGAATAGTTCAACCTGACAGCAGTGATGTTCGTGGCTACCGGGGAGCTGAAAACACTGCAGGCACGCAGGCAGGAATGATGCTACACACATGACCAGGTTAGTCGAACATCGACATGATCTAGACGTACGAGTACCCTGGGAAGGGAACGTCTTGGGCAGCACAACTTGCGAAGAGCTATCTTAACATTGTGCTCCTTGGTCTCCGGCGTGTTCTTGCCATTGACTCGGCAACTCTAAGGTCTACCTGCTGCAGAGATCGTGCCTGAGAGCACTGACGCGCTGTCAATGCTATTTCGGCATTGACCAACTGTAATCTATTATAAGCCTCTACGCTTTGAACCCTTAAAAGTCCTGGAACAGTGGAGGGCGGCTCCTGGCTGAGGGCCTTTGCCTCCTTTCACGCGCGACCAATTCGAGTTGTCGAAAAGCCACACCAACACTCTTCACCCCCCCCCATGGCGCCAACACAAATGTGGTAAGTGTACCTGCCCGAAGTCAAGTTCCAATGTCATTCCCACGCTGCTTACATGCCAGCAAGCCCGCAGTCAAACCAAGACAGGGCTTGCATCGATGTGCCGCGCTCATTTCTGCGGCATCACCACTGACAGGGAGCCATCCTTGGCTTTGACAGATGTAGAAGCTTGTCTAAACGCAACCCTCCTGGAATTGATCAACAGTGCTTTTGAGAGGCTAAGGTTGACAAATTCAAATACCTCTCTGCTTTCAAATTTGCCGTTTGCTAGTTGCTTAGCCTGCCTGCAATTTCTTTCGTCTTTCCCTGTCCTTAGATTCCGTCTGGACGCATACCTGGTCATACCCGAAATTAACGCCCGAGCAAAAACATGAGTACCACTCTTCATTAGTGACGGGACCGGGTGTAGTTTTTCCAAGGCTCTTGCATGGCCTATCTGGAGAGAGTTACTGGGCAATAGCACCGTCAGCTTCCGCGGTTCGGCGGTTGGCACCACGGTTCACTGAGGCCGCGTCCTCTGCTTCCACCACCTTGCCAACTCGGTGCTCGTTCCACAAAAAAAAACCTTCCCCTTTTGGAAGACCCAAAGGCAACAGCACACCACGTATTTCGGCAATCCCCACGGCTCACGACGAAATGCATGCACGACAACTTGCGCCTCATAGGCTTGAACATTCTTCTTGTCGCCACCAACATATGTCCTTGGAAAGCTGCTCTCCGCAAATAGTGTGAGAAACTCAATATCATCTATCAAAACATTGATTTGATGTTTTCCATAATGGCACAACTCCAAACTCGTGTCACATGGCACCTGCCATGAGACTATGATCAATATGACCCTCGCTTCACGGGGGGGAAGGCTTTGGCAAGAGGGAGGGAGTTCAGATAAAGCCGTGAACAAGGCAAATAAGCCCCAAATCAAGGCCTTCTTCAGGGCTTTGGGCTCCCGCCGCCCCCCCTTTTCCAGGCCGATGGAGGCCCCGGCATGACCTGAGCGATGAACTCATTCTCCAGGCCCAAAGCCCCGGTGACCCACCTGGCGAAGATCGGCAAGGCGTCGCAACCGAAGAAGTTCACCGAAGTTGCGGTCGCGGCATAGGTGTCATTTTTAAGGAAAACGGATTTCCGGACTTCCGGATTTCCCTGAAACCACCCGGTAAAATAGGAATCGCCCGTTTGTCTTCAAACCGAAAAAGGACACCTATGGACGTCACCTATGCCCTCCCCGTTTCACACCTGGGACCCTGACCGGTCCCTCTTGAGAAAAAGGATCCAAACCAGGACGCCAGGTGACGTCAGGTTCCCCCGATGACCTAATTCTGTCAGAGTACCCAGGTGGCGTCGGCCACTTAACTTGGCGAACATCCAAGTAAGAGATCAAAGAGCGCCGCACACAGAACGGCTGGATCACTTTTAGAGCGAATCTAGGCCCGTGGCTGTGCCAAGCATCACAAACCAAGAGCGCAAAAGAAACTGGCGCTTACTCTTGCGGAAGATGCTCGCGCTTTCTCTTGCGGAAATGCTCACGTAAGGTGTGAGTCTCCGCAAACGTGTCAGAAAGTTTCATAAAGCTACACCAGCACGTCAGGCTCAGGAACTGGTGAAACATCTCCCAGCCACAAAGACATCACACCCGTGTGACCTCGTGAAGCATTGTAGACAGCTCGTGAGCGAAGAGGGTGGTTCCTCTTGAAGCGAGGGGCAGCTTTGCCGTCCCATGAAGATGGCATCAGCCCGGTCAAGTAGCCGTGCTCATTTCCAGGCTCAGTGCCATTGCCATAGATGATGCCCTTCTTGTTGTCATCAGAGGCATAGACTGCGCAAAGCGTCTTGTTGGTGACATGATCAAATAGCTCCAGTGAAAGTCCAGTAACGTGCAAATGCGGAGCGAAGATGACCATGTCTACGAGGTCTTCTGCCCTGTGAGGATCACTAGGTGCTTTGGGATGTCTGTGAAAGAAGCCAACCGGTTGGACACTCTCGGCCACATGGACACACTCTTCCGGCGGGGTGCCAGCAGCGCATTGTGGAATGTCGTACTCGATGTTTTCGAAGCCCTGGGTGGCGCCAGTGACGTCACAGCACGCAGCGGAGTGCATCTCACGGGTCTCCGAATCAGCGTCCTCGTATTAGAAGACAAACTTCATGAACACTTCATCCTGTGGCTCCTTCGAACACTTTGGGTCGCTGCACTCCTTGTCAGTGTCAATCAGGAAGACTCCATGCTCACAGCACCTCCATCCACCAACATAGGTGGACAAATGGCAAGAAGGATTGCCAGTCGCAGCAAATTGAGCGCTGCATTGAATAGGAGGATCCGGATCATGGCCGTCAATCGTGCCCGCAGCCACGTCAATCTTTCGCTGGGGTGTACAGGGACGCTCCAGCAGTGGAGAATATGGCAAGGAGGCATTTCTCGCAAACTTGTTGGAGTTGATGACGTGAAAGGTCGGGAGCCACGCATTTGGCTGCTTCACCACTCGGCGGAAGGGGGCCTTGTAGCGCTGAGGGTTGTGCCTGTACTCCGCACCCGCCGCACTGCCAAAGCTCACAAGGTCACCTCGAGGCTGTGGGAAATGGAATCAACTTCAGTCATACAAAAAGAACTCTTCGCAAGGACTAGTCCCCAACTTAAAGGAGCAGATTCCCAAAAGTATCACAGTGATCCCACCCCCCCCCCCCCCTCAAAAAAAAAGAGAGAAGAAAAACACAACAACCCAAAAAAAAAACGAGTGATTCCACAACCCTGCCTCCGCCAGGCTGTGAGTTCAGCTGTGTCAAGAAGTTGTGAAGAGGCGCGCCTGTCATGGCATGACAGCTCAGCATGCGGGCAAACATCTTGTCCTCTGCCTTGTGCTCCAAAATCTTCTCCAGGGTTGAAGTCCGACCCATGGAAAATGTAGTGGTGCAAGTAATGATCCTTCAAGCCGACCTTTGTCTCAGCGCCATCTGAGGTCTTGCGCACCACTTCCACATCAAACCCCGTGACAGCCATTGACTTGCTGCCATCCGCGTAGCGGGCGATGACATCCTCCGGAAGGGGCATAGGGTCCTGCTGAAAGTTGTAGACTTCTCCATAGCGCAACCGGATGGGTGCAGAGGTGACGGTGAAGCTCAACCGGCGGCTGAGAGGGGAAGCAAAATGCTCCACATGGCATTTGGCGTCGTCCTGCTATTGCGATTGCCGAAGCATTCAAGGGCAATTTGAGGCAGGATCGCTTTGGCATACTTTCATGCCATTAACTCCAAGCTGACCAAACACAGGTGTCGAACCTGTTGCCACCAGTGGGGGCATGCCTTGCCTGGTGCACACGCCGCTCTTCATGTTGAACCTGTCGCAACACGCACAATTTGGTACTGAGGACCCGTGGCAATCACCTACTCTTGCGTGGGATGAATTTCCGGGAGAAAAACAACATCTCTCTCGTCACAGAAAAACTACGGCATCTGCGCCAGCTGCTCAGAAGGGTGCTGGGAGTTGTGGAAGTTGCAGGTAAGCTTAGGGCCATCTGGCCTCAGTTTTGGGCAAAAACAATGTGTGTGGCAGCTTAACTCGGCCGCATCAGGGAATGAGGGCATGACCCCAAAAAAACCAAAAATGGTATGGATTTTCCTGAAAAAGTCCCCGGTCACCCGGTTGGCCATTCCTGACTCATTCGATCGCAGCCGCAAGATGCAAGACTCTCGGCTCAATAAGTTCGGTGCCCGCTCTCAATCTGTCCTTTCTTCATTGGCAGTCCCAAGTGTGGGCACTTGGCATCCACCTCAAATCGGTCATCGATGTTTCTTCTCCCAGAGCCAAGGGAGAAGAACCATCCACATGTTCATTTGGTTGATTTAAAGAAAAACACAAGGAACATAGCGAATTTGGGCGAAGCGGATTCCTGGGACCCACTGCTATGGGACCCACTGGCAGAAAACCACTGCAACTTCGTGGCTCGCAAGCGATGAAACAGCACGTTGGGCGCCGGCGGCATAGTACCTGCCGTCGATCTTGGCAACTACCTTGGAACTGGACATGGTCTTCTCAAGATGTCTTGCACATCACAAATGATCACGTTGGACGCCCAACTGGTCACCATACGCTTCTTGCATGCGTATTAGACTTGGACAGTGCCGTCAAAGTTGCGATAGGCCCGTCATTTCCATCAACGACAACGCGGTCACCTCAGGTGGTTGCAGCTGTCTTTGGGCAACTCAAATCTAGTTGAGGCAGAGCCAGTGAGGCAGAACCACATTTGATCATTGCTCAATCAAGGGGGATGCTTGCATTTCCCTGAAGATCAGTTGCCACCATTCAAACAACGGCTGTTCGAACTACAACCGCCATTGTTTTTTACCGAAGGAATGTCAGCATGAAAAATGGGTCAAACGTTCTTTTGAGGGGGATTGACATCAAGGGATTTCGAAGTTTCTCGAACTCAGGCAGCCGGATCCAAGGGATCCAGGTTTGGGCGATTTTAGGCCGGCAGGAGACCTGGGGGAAGGATCCCGTAGCTCGAGCTGCCAAACCATGATGCAAGGACCACACATCGAGGTATACCCCAAGCCTGCAAAAGCAGCAGTCAAACAGCGGCTTCAAACTGTAAAAATCGCGATGAGGTAACTCTATAGCTGCGACTAGCTGGTTGCAAAATCCTTGTCCCTTCTCTATGGGAATTGTGAAGAACCGTCAAATGAATTCCCCCCATCAAAGGACCAACGCATCCCGTACTCGGCCTTCCTAACGTGTCATGTCGAGGCACCTTCTGTCGGAGGTTCTTTGACCTGAGCACACACGGCCTGCAGTCTGGTGCGGGGCTGCTGCCGCCCACCGCCAATACCAGCGAAGCTTTGGGAGAAGGAATGAAAGGCGAGAGCAGTCCTCAGTTGCCCAAAGGACCTGGAAATAAAAGGCGATCACCTTTTGGGGTGACTAAAAAACAGAAGCCCAAAAGGGGAAAACGAAAAGGTCAAAAGGATGATTCGCTTTGGACAAGTGAGAGTCAGCAGGATGGCAATCTTTGGGAATCGCGACTTCGCCATGGCAGTTGGCGTTTTCCCTCCTCTTGAAGCCGAAACAGCTCCGCGAAAGAAAACAAATCATGCACTCCCTCCCACTAACATAGCACCTGTGAAAAGGTCCCCGGCAGATAGATTTCATATTCAGGGACCCCCGTCAGGTGCCATGTTAGCGGGAGTAAGGGTATTTCCCGGAGCTTCTGAACTCATGTCTAAACCCAATGTTATATGGGTGTCCTTTTTGTTTTCCTGGCACCTCCCAAAAAAGACACACCCATATGTTGCGCGGCTTGCACGGACCTCTTATTGCACTGTCACGGGCTCGCGGCTGCGTTTGCAGCAGAGATGCACTCATCCTGCGCTAAGCAAGCAGCACCAAAAACCTTCAGACCTCAGCCTGTTGCAATTGAATACGCGCGACAGTCCTGAGAGCAGCTCTTCCCCAGCGCAAATGCATCCCTCGGCTGCAGCCCACGCACACGGGCTCACACAACGTACCCGCGACACATCGAGCAGAACCCAATAATTTTCAGAGCAACTGGCAATCTGCAAGGCAATGGGCATGGGCTCGTGATGGAACTCTTCACCATGTTGCATCATATTATAAATATGGGTCAAAGTTAAACCACCAGCAAACCGCAGGTTTTAGTCCTTGTTTCCATTGACCAGGGCAAGCCATTTTGGGGTTACCCTATCACCCTATGTTTGGCTACCACACCCATGTTGTGCCCGGTGGGTAAACCTACTACGCCCTGACGCAAAAGCAAGTGTGGTCCATACCAATAGTCCAGCTGCATGTTACGTTCTCTTCACTCTGGGCCCTGGGCCTTAAAAGGATGCTGTTTGGGGCTGTTTTTGAAAAGGACATGCCTTGGTAGCGTGAACCAGCGGTGACACATCGTTAAAGAGAAGGGGAACACTCCGATGGTGCAAAGGGCCCTCCAAAGCGAGAAGGGACCAGGAAAGTTCGACCTGCGGCTTCACATCCTTGACGCTGCCACTCTCCGATTGCAAAGGGCCCACCAAGGCGAGAAGGGACCAGGAAAGTACTTTCTCCCCCCCCCCATACATGAGGAGAGTGCACCTGCCCGAAGTCAAGTTCGAACGTCATTCCCACGCTGCTTACATGCCAACAAGCCCGCAGTCACATTAGGAGAGGGCTTTCATCGAGGTGCCGCGCTCATTTCTGCGGCAGCACCGCTGACAGGGAGCCAACCTTGGCATTGAAAGTCTAAACGGAACCCTCCTGGAATTGATCAACAGTGCTTTTGAGAGGCTAAGATTGACAAATTCAAGTACCTCTCTAGTTGCTCGATAACGCCTGCCTGCAATTACTTTCGTCTTGCCCTGTCCCTAGGTACCGTCTGGACGCATGCCTGGATGTCATACCCGAAATTAGCGCCCGAGTACAACCATAGGTGCCACTCTTCATTGTTGACGGGACCGGGTGTTGTTTTGTTCCAAGGATCTTGCATTGCCTATCTGGAGGGAATTGCTGGGCAATAGTACTGTCAGCTTCGGCGTTGGGTGGGTGGGTGTCTAACCATGCGCTGATCACTTGTTGGGTGGTGTGTTGGGTGGGACCACGGGAGGGGGCGCTTACCGTTGGGGTGGGATCACTTGGGCGGGGGCGCTTGCCATGCGTTGGTGGGATCACTTGGGCAGGGGCATGCAGGGGCGCTTGGCATGTGTTGGGTGGGACCACTCTTTTGGGATCATCTTCTTGCGAAGTGTGCATAAAGTAGCCTTCTTGCGAAGTGTGCAAAACGTGGGTTTTGCACTGACGGTTTCCGACCCGACAGCTAAAATATGGCATGGAAGAGGTAAGTGACCGAATAGACTTGTAAGGAGTGTTTGGTTTCAATAGGAACAAGTGTAAACTGTGCCACAGTCAGCACAGCGGGCTTTTCCTGTACAAGCTACCAAGCCTCGAGCTCAGAAATGCTGCATGAGTGGATGCTGTGAGTCAAGCACAGAACAAACGAGAAACACCCCCGCCCTCCCTCCCCCTTTTCCAGGCCACCGATGGATGAGGCCCTGGCATGACCTGAGCGATGAACTCATTCTCCAAGCCCAAAGCCCCGCTGACCAACCTGGCGAACATCAGCAGAAAGGCATCCGAACCGAAAAAGTTAACCGGAGTCGCGGTCAGGTATAGGTGTCATTTTTGGAAAATAGATTCGGTTTTCCCTGAACCACCAGGTAAACCAGGAATCGCCCATTTGTTTTCAAATCACCTACGGGTCACCTATGGGCGTCAATTGGTAGCCTGGGATATACCCTCCCTCCCAATTCACATGGAACCTGACGTTCGGGACCCGATCCCTTTTGAGGAAAATCGTCCAAACCAGTGGTTGTGTCAGGTTCCATGTTAATTGGTCAAAGAGCGCCGCACACAGAACGGCTGGATCACTTTTAGAGCGAATCTAGGCCCGTGGCCGTGCCAAGCATCACAAACCAAGAGCACAAAAGAAACTGGCGCTTACTCTTGCGGAAGATGCTCGCGCTTACTCTTGCGGAAATGCTCACGTGAGGCGCAAGTCTCCGCAAACGTGTCAGAAAGCTTCAAAAAGCTACACCAGCACGTCCGGCTCAGGAACTGGTGAAACATCTCCCAGCCACAAAGACATCACCCCCGTGTGACCTCGTGAAGCATTGTAGACAGCTCGTGAGCGAAGAGGGTGGTTCCTCTTGAAGCGAGGGGCATCTTTGCCGTCCCATGAACATGGCATCAGCCCGGTCATGTAGCCGTTCTCATTTCCAGGCTCAGTGCCATTGCCATAGATGATGCCCTTCTTGTTGTCATCAGAGGCATAGACTGCGCAAAGCGTCTTGTTGGTGACATGATCAAAGAGCTCCAGAGAAAGCCCAGCAACATGCAAATGCGGAGAGAAGAAGACCATGTCTACGAGGTCGTCTGCCTTGTGATGATCACTAGGTGCTTTGGGATGCCTGTGAAAGTAACCAACCGGTTGGACACTCTCGGCCACGTGGAAACACTCTTCCGGCGGGGTGCCAGCAGCGCATTGTGGAATGTCGTACTCGATGTTTTCGAAGCCCTGGGTGGTGCCAGTGACGTCACAGCACGCAGCGGAGTGCATCTCACGGGTCTCCGAATCAGCGTCCTCGTAGTGGAAGACAAACTTCATGAAGACTTCATCCTGTGGCTCCTTCGAACACTTTGGGTCGCTGCACTCCTTGTCAGTGTCAATCAGGAAGACTCCATGCTCACAACACCTCCATCCACCAACATAGGTGGACAAATGGCAAGAAGGATTGCCAGTCGCAGCAAATTGAGCGCTGCATTGAATAGGAGGATCCGGATCATGGCCGTCAATCGTGCCCGCAGCCACGTCAATCTTTCGCTGGGGTGTGCAGGGACACTCCAGCAGTGGAGAATATGGCAAGGAGGCATTTCTCGCAAACTTGTTGGAGTTGATGACGTGAAAAGTCGGGAGCCACGCATTTGGCTGCTTCACCACTCGGCGGAAGGGGGCCTTGTAGCGCTGGGGGTTGTGCCTGTACTCTGCACCGGCCGCGCTGCCAAAGGTCAGAAACTCACCTCCCAGGGCTGTGGGAAATGGAACCCACTTCAGTCATACAACAGAAAAGGCTTCCCAAAGACTGATCCCCCATATAAAGGGGGGAGATTCCCAAGAGTATCACAGTGATCCCACCCCCCCGCCCAAAAAAACAAAAAACAAACAAAAACACGAAAAACCGAGTGATCCCACAACCCTGCCTCCGCCAGGCTGTGAGTTCAGCTGTGTCAAGAAGTTGTGAAGAGGCGCGCCTGTCATGGCATGACAGCTGGTCAGCATGCGGGCAAACATCTTGTCCTCTGCCTTGTGCTCCAAAATCTTCTCCAGGGTTGAAGTCCGACCCATGGACAAAATGTAGTGGTGCAAGTAATGATCATTCAAGCCGACCTTTGTCTCAGCGCCATCTGAGGTCTTGCGCACCATTTCCACATCAAACCCCGTGATAGCCATTGACTTGCTGCCATCCGCGTAGCGGGCAATGACATCCTCCGGCAGGCGCATAGGGTCCTGCTGCTGGTTGTAGACTTCGCCATAGCGCAGCTGGATGGGTGCTGAGGTGACCGTGAAGCTCAACGGGTCGGCGGCGGCTGAGAGGGGAAGCACAATGCTCCACATGGCATGAGGCATCGTCCTGCTATTGCCGAAGCAGTCAACGGCAATTTGAGGCAGGATCGCTTCGGCATAATTTCATGCCGTCAACTCCAAGCTGATCAAACACTTGTGTCAAAACCTGTTGCCACCAGTGGGGGCATGCCTTGCCTGGTGCGCACGCCGCTCTTCATGTTGAACCTGTCGCAACACGCACAACTTGGCAATGAGGATCCGTGCTCTCTTGCACGGTAAGATTTTTCGGATAATAAGAAACAAAAGCATACCTCTCGCAACAGTAAAGCTATGGCATCTTCCAGCTGCTGAGCAGGGTGCTGCGAGTTGTGGAAGTTGCAGGTAAGCCTAGGGCCATCTGGCCTTAGTTTTGAGGCACCAAAACAATCCGTCTGGCAGCTCGACCGGAACGCCATTTCAACAATCTCGGCCGCATCAGGGAATGAGGGAATGACCCCTATGGACCATCCATCGTATTTCCTTACAAGAATCCCCGGTCACCCGATTCAGTCCACGACCCAGAAACACGGCCGATCATTCCCGACTCCTGGATCGCAGCAAGACTCTCGGTTCGATGTAAGTCCGGTGCCCGCTCTCAATCCACCTCAGGTCGCCCCATCGAATCATTTGCCCAGGGTAACCACGGGTTTGAACCACCCATTTTTATTTGTTGTTTGAAACAAAAACACCAGCAACGTAGGGAAGGGTCACCTGCTACATGGGCGAAGCGGATTCCTGGGACACTGGCATGGGCCAATGAAAGAAAACCACTGCAACTTCGTGGCTGCACCTCCTTTACGGCACCTGAAGCGCAAGCGATGAAACAGCTTGTTGGGCGCCGGCGGCATAGTGCTTGCCGTCAATCTTGGCAACTACCTTGGAAATGGACATGGTCTTCTCAAGATGTCTTGCACATCACAGATGATCACGTTGGACGCGCAACTGGACACCTTACGCTTCTTGCATGCATATCATGCAGCGCCGTCAAAGTTGCGATAGGCCCGTCATTTCCATCAACGACAACGCGGTCACCTTAGGTGGTTGCAGCTGTCTTTGGGCAACTCAAACCTTCAGTAACTGGGTCCTCCCCCTAAGGCAAAGGCAAAGCCAGTGAGGCAGAACCACGGTCGATCGTTGCTCAATCAAGGGGGGTGCTTGCATTTCCCTGGGGATCAGTTGCCACCATTGAAACTGGACCTCCCTTGGGCGGCGGCAATGGGTCTTCGCTGGCCAGGCAGCCAAACATCTCCCGCTTGAAGCCCATGGCTTTCACCTCGGTCCCGCGCGGGTGGCTCGTCTTTTTTGAAGCCAAGGGTACGCCTTGGTGGCTTTGAGCGGAAACCAAGAGGACAAACAAGGCCATTTGCTGGGGATGCCCAGAAAACACATTATACAACATCGACAGCGACAGCGACAGCGACAGCAGCAGCAGCAGCAGCAGCAGCAGCAGCAGCAGCAGCAGCAGCAGCAGCAACAGCAACAGCAACAGCAACAGCAGCAGCAGCAGCAGCAGCAACAGCAACAGCAACAGCAGCCACAGCAGCAGCAGCAGCAGCAGCAGCAGCAGCAGCAGCAGCAGCAGCAGCAGCAGCACCAGCAACAGCACCAGCAACAGCAACAGCAACAGCAACAGCAACAGTAACAGCAGCAGCAACAGCAACAGCAACAGCAACAGCAACAGCAACAGCAACAGCAACAGCAACAGCAACAGCAACAGCAACAGCAACAGCAACAGCAAAAGCAACAGCAACAGCAACAACAACAACAACAACAACAACAAGAACAGAAAACATTTTCCATGACACGCAGCCTGAATCGGTCCATTTGTTCCAACTATGCACTTCACTGTCTACTCTGCGCATGCCTCTATGCACTTCTCTCTGTACTTGCCCTGCGCACGCCTCTATGCATCTCACTGTTTAGTCTGCGCACGCCTGTATGCAGTTCACTGTCTACTTTCCCTGCACATGCATCTGCGCACTTCACTCTGTACTTGACCTATGCATGCCTCTATGCATTCCACTGTCTACTTTCCATGCGCATGCCTCCATGCATTTGTGTGTCAACTTTCCCTGCGCATGCCTCTATGCATCTCACTGTCTACTTTCCCTGCGCGTGCCTCTATGCACTTCACTCTGCGCTTGCCCTATGCGTGCCTCTAAGCATTACACTGTCTCATGCCTGAATGCGTTTCACTGTCTACTTTCCCTGCACTTGCCTCTATGCATTTCACTGTCAACTCTGCGCATGCCTCTTTGCAGTTCACTGCCTACTTTCCCTGCGCATGCCTCTACGCACTTCACTCCGTACTTGCCCTGCGCGTGCCTCTGTGCATCTCACTGATTAGTCTGCGCGCGCCTGTGTGCAGTTCACTGTCTGCTTTCCCTGTGCCTGCGTCTTCGCACTTCGCTCTGTTCACTGTCTACTTTCCCTGCGCAGGCCTCTATGCATTTCACTGCCTACTTTCCCTGCGCATGCATCTGTGCACTTCACTCTGTACTTGACCTATGCATGCCTCTATGCATTCCACTGTCTACTTTCCATGCGCATGCCTCCATGCATTTGTGTGTCAACTTTCCCTGCGCATGCCTCTATGCATCTCACTGTCTACTTTCCCTGCGCGTGCCTCTATGCACTTCACTCTGCGCTTGCCCTATGCGTGCCTCTAAGCATTACACTGTCTACGCATGCCTGAATGCGTTTCACTGTCTACTTTCCCTGCACTTGCCTCTATGCATTTCACTGTCAACTCTGCGCATGCCTCTTTGCAGTTCACTGCCTACTTTCCCTGCGCATGCCTCTACGCACTTCACTCCGTACTTGCCCTGCGCGTGCCTCTGTGCATCTCACTGATTAGTCTGCGCGCGCCTGTGTGCAGTTCACTGTCTGCTTTCCCTGTGCCTGCGTCTTCGCACTTCGCTCTGTTCACTGTCTACTTTCCTTGCGCAGGCCTCTATGCATTTCACTGCCTACTTTCCCTGCGCATGCATCTGTGCACTTCACTCTGTACTTGCCCTACGCATGCCTCTATGCACTTCACTGTCTACTTCCCCTGTGCGTGCCGCTATGCATTCCACTGTCAGCACTGCGCATGTCTCTGTGCAGTTCACTGTCTACTTTCCCTGCGCATGCGTCTATGCACTTCACTCTGTACTTGTGCACGCGCCTTTATGCAGTTCACTGTCTACTTTCCCTGCGCATGTGTCTATGTGCATCACTCTGCACTTGCCCCACGCATGCCTCTATGCATTTTACTGCGCAATTTCTCTACGCATGCCTCTACACATTTCACGGTCTACTTTCCGACTTTGCAGCCGGAGCTGCGGGGACGTACTTCGCGTACTACTTTTGTACTTAAAAGTTTGGGACTTTGCAGCCGGAGCTGCGGGGACGTGCTTCACGTACTATTTTGTACTTCAAAGATGCGACTTTGCAGCCTGATATTCCCAGTCCTTCCGGCGAGGATTCGATAGCGAGGATTTGTTTAAATCAGCGCTGATTCGGGTAAGCGGGGATCCGTGCCAAATCGGGTAAGCGAGAGGAGCAGAATGCTCCTGACATGTATGGTGTCCATGCCAAAGAGCTCCCACCAAGTGAAACCTTTTGGGGGAGCAGCCACCAAACTACAAATATCAAATAAATGTTACTTATTTAACGTTATTTAACATTCATTTAACATTCAATTACCTTTTAAACTAAAAGGAAACTGAATGTTTAATCGATGTTAAAAAGTTAACCGTTTAACAAAAACTTTCATGGACGTGCTATTGTTTTATGCTGCTCTTAACTGTCGCATGTACTTGCCTGTCTCAGCGAGGATTCACGAATCAGCGCTGATTCGGCGGATCCTTGCTTCTTCAAATCCTTGCCAAAATGGCGCTGGTTCAGGGATCCTTGCCAAAACCTGCAAGGATTCGAGCCTTTTAGTGCTGATTCGCAAGATTCCTTGCCAAACCGGCGCTGAAACCACAGTTTTCCTTGCCAAAATGACGAGGATGTACGAATCCTTGCCAAAACCTGCGCTGAAAGAAGGACTGGCAGGGCCTGCAGACGGCCGCACGCAGACCGCGAAGATATGCGACGATTCACGGGACCACAGCGAGAGAGCTCTGACACTCACAATCTCGGCAGGAATCGCAAAAACACCTGAGTATTTGCACCTCGACCACGCCGATCCGCGCAGAGAGTCGCGCGCGCACCGCAAGAATCGCAAAAAATCCTGCAGTTTTCTGCACATCGCCGATCCCCGCAGAGAGTCGTGCGCGTCAGCGTCACGCAAGAATCGCCAAAGAACCCTGAGTTTTTGCACATCCACCACGCCGCTCCGGGCAGAGGGTCGCACGCGTCACGCAAAAATCAAAAAAGTTTTTGCGCACGACCACGCCGATCCCCGCAGAGGGTCGCCCTCGCAGCGCAAGAATCGCACAAAAACTCCAACTTTTGCACATCGACCACGCCAATCCCCGAAAAGGGTCGCGCGTGCGTGTTGGAAATCGTCACAAGTCCTCAGTTTTTGCACATCGACCACGCCGATCCCTGAGAGGGTCGCATTTTCGCAGAGCGCGCTTGGTCCCACCGCGCTGCCTTAAGATACTAATTAAGAAAGCGTGCAAGTTTGCTCGTGCAAGTTACGCTCGTGCGAGAAGGAACGCAAGATCGCTACGCATTTCACTCTGTACTTACCCTATACGTGCCTCATTGCATTTCACTGCCTACTTTCCCTGTGCATGCCTCAACGCATGACACTGTCTACTTTCCCTGCCCACGCCGCTATGAACTTCAGTCTACTTTCCTTGCGCATGCGTCCATGCACTTGCCTCAGTACTTGCCCAACGCATGCCTCCATGCATTTCACTGTCTACTGTCCCTGCGCATGCCTCTATGCAGCACACTGTCTACTTTCCGTGTGTTTGCCTCGATGCATTTCAGTATCTACTTGCCTGCGCATGCATCCATGCACTTGCCTCAGTACTTGCCCTACGCATGCCTCCATGCATTTCAATGTCTACTTTCCCTGCGCATGCCTCTATGCATTTCACTGTCTACTTTCCCCGTGCGTGCATCTATGCGTTTTACTCTGCGCTTGCCCTTCGCATTTCACTGTGCACTCCCTACGCACGCCTCTATGCGTTTCACTGTCTGTCTACTTTCCCTATGCAGTTGAGCTGTGCAGAACTGCAACGACTTTACCGGAACAACCCTTCGCAATGCTTTCGGGAAAAAGGCTGTGTAAATCTAGCCACCATTGTTTACCTAAGGAATGTCATCATTTAAAATGCAAGCGTTCTTTAAAGTTTCTCGAACTCTCACACATCGAGGCATACTCCAAGCCTGCAAAAGCAGCGGTCAAACAGCGGCTTCAAGCTACAAAATCGCGCTGAGGTAACGCTGCAGCTGGGACTGGCTGCAAAATCCTTGCCCCTTTTCTATGGGAAACGCGGAGAACCGTTCTCTTCAAATAAATTCCCCCATCAAAGGACCAACGCATCCCGTACTCGGCCTTCCTAACGTGTCACGTCGAGGCGCCTTCTGTCGGAGGAGGTGCCCCTGACCTGAGCATACACCACCACCAATACCAGCGAAGCTTTGGGAGAAGGAGTGCCAGGCGAGAGCAGTCCTCAGTTGCCCAAAGCACCCGGAAATAAAAGGTGATCACTGATCACCTTTTGGGGTGACTAAAAAATGGAAACCATAAAGGGGAAAACGAAAAGGTGAAAGGTTGATTCGCTTTGGACACGTGAGAGTCAGCAGGGTGGCAATCTTTGGGAATCGCGACTTCGCCATGGCAGTTGGCGTTTTCCCTCCTCTTGAATTGAAGCCGAAACAGCTCCGCGAAAGAAAGCAAACCATGCACTCCCTCCCACTAACATAGCACCTGTGAAAAGGTCCCCGGCAGATAGATTTCATATTCAGGGACCCCCGTCAGGTGCCATGTTAGCAAGAGTAAGGGTTCCAAACCCCAAAATGGCTTTGGTTTCCTTTTGTTTTCCTTTAAAACCAACCAGCACGGGTACCTCCCAAAAAACGCCCATATGTTGCGCGGCTTGCACGGACCTCTTATTGCGCTGTCACGGGCTCGCGGCTGCGTTTGCAGCAGAGATGTACTCATCCTGCGCTAAGCAACCAGCACCAAAAACCTTCAGACCTCAGCCTGTTGCAATTGAATGGACGGCGCGCGACAGTCCTGAGAGCAGCTCTTCCCCAGTGCAAACGCATCCCTCAGCTGCAGCCCATGCACACGGGCTCACACAAAGCACCCTCGACACATCGAGCAGAACCCAATCCTTTGCGGTCCACATGCCAACATGCCAGGGCTTCAGAAACTTTGATTCAGAGCCGCTGGCAATGGCAATGGGTAGGTAGGGGCTCGTGAATGGAACTCCTCATTTTTTTTGTATGGGTCAAGTCAGCAAACTGCAGGTTTTAGTCCTTGTTTCCATTGAGCAGGGCAAGCCATTTTGAGGGTCCCTATGACCCTATGTTTGGCTACCACACCCATGTGGTGCCCGGTGGCACCGACTACTGTGGTCGACACCAATTGTCCAGCTGCGTGTTGCGCTCTTTCTTCACATGGTTGAAAGGATGCTGTTTCGGGCTGTTTTTGGAAAGGACATGCCTTGGTAGCGTGAATCAGAGGTGACACATCGTCAGAGAGAAGAGGAACACTCCGAAGGTGCAAAGGGCCCTCCAAAGCGAGAAGGGACCAGAAAAGTCCGACCTGCGGCTTACCTCCTTGACGGTGCCACTCTCCGATACCAAACAGCCCTCCAAAGCGAGAAGGGGCTAGGAAAGTTTGACCTGCGGCTTACATCCTTGACGCTGCCACTCTCCGATAGCAAAGGCCTCCAAAGCGAGAAGGGACCAGGAAAGTTCGACCCGCGGCTTACATCCTTGATGCTGCCACCGTCCGATAGCAAAGGACTCTCCAAAGCGAGACGCTGCCACTCTCCGATGGCAAAGGCTTCCAAAGCGAGAAGGGACCAGCAAAGATAGCAAAGGACTCTCCAAAGCGAGACGCTGCCACTCTCCGATAGCAAAGGCCTCCAAAGCGAGAAGGGACCAGGAAAGCTCGACCCGCGGCTTACATCCTTGACGCTGCCACCGTCCGATAGCAAAGGGCCCTCCAAAGCGAGAAGGCTAGGAAAGTTCGACCTCCGGCTTACATCCTTGACGCTGCCACTCTCCGATAGCAAAGGGCCCTCCAAAGCGAGAAGGGGCTAGAAAAGTTTGTCCTGCGGCTTACATCCTTGACGCTGCCACTCTCCGATAGCTCGAAAGCAGGGTGTGTGCTTGGCTTGAAGAAAAGGTCAGAGCTTTCACATCTGTGTCGCAGCGAGTCGTTGTCCTCATGTTGCCATGGTGTTTCACCCTTTCAATATCCACGAACCGCGTCATTCTTCGCTCAGCTGGCCACACCCTTTAGAGGAAACGGCCGGCCTTAGGTGTTCGGCAAGATTTCCACTGGCCAACCGGCTTCACTGAGAGGAAACGCCGCTGCTTCGGAGGTTCAAAACAATCTTGCCGCCAGCAATTCAGTGTTATAACATGTCTTCTTAAAGCCACTAAGACTAGCAGTTCAAGAAAAGCTGAAACACACAGGATACAACCTTGATCGTATATTGCATATTTACGTACATGTGGTGTATGTGCTATTCAATGATTTAGCTCTGGAAGCCGAAGCTACACACTTCACGAGGTTGCAACGTCGCAATGACTTCTCCAAAATGGCCCCTTTGTTTCACATTGCTTGTGTGTTTTCCCAAACGGCACTCCACCATCACGTCAATGTGCAGCTCCCACGGAAAGCTTTTACGTAACACCTCGTGGTACAAAAGCACTCGAGGCAGCCAGGATGCGAAGCTGCCACGAACTTGGCGGCATTCCGTGCAGCAACCACGTAGAGGTCGCGCTCTGCTTGCAAAAATGGATGGAAGCCGTATTTCCTTAGAAGCGGAAATACGTTTTTGCCAGCAGAAATTACCATCCCAATTAACATGGAACCTGACAGGGGCAATGGTCTTCCCTGGCAGGTTCTATGTTGGGAGGGTAAAGGGTCTTCCGTGAATCTGTCTGCACATTCTGCATGTTTCTCGTGAGTTTGGGCGAGGATCTTGAAGAGCAAGGAGAAGGCGGACTGGTCGTCGTTGTGGTGCCGGAAGTGCGGATAATCTGGATGCCCCAGAACCTGCACTTCACAAGAACACGCCTCTCTATTACATGCACCTTAATCATGGCTAAAACTCGGCAACACACGTATGGAACATGTGTACACAAATGTATAATATATATATATATATGTGGGTGTGCATGTGTGTAAAGACTTGTTTGTCACACTCAGTGAATGAACAAAACGAGGACCATTGTAAACAATCAAACTAAATAAGGTATTCAAAAAGTATACTAACAAACATGGACGCATTAAACATTATGAAATACAAGATCCGCAGATGGAAGCAACCGGCAAGTGAGTCTACCAAGTTGCTGATGGGGTCTCTGTGATGATGCGCTCATCTTCGCAGGCAGCTAGCCAATGCTCCATGAATCGAATCGAAAGCGGCGTTTTGCGAGCCAGGATAATTCCTGAAACGCTGGAAACATTGGACAAGCACACGGCATGATAACAGTCATCTGCAATGACCCAGTCCTGTGGCAATCTGGTTTGTCCGAATGATGCTTTCCTCGCATGAGCGGCCGTGGGCAAAACTGATGCACGCCAGCCACAAAAATGCTTCAGGGCACGTAGTCTGCATCAAGTAGCAAGAAGGCATCCTCAGTCCAATGTACGACTGGAAAGCAAATACACAGTTGCACCACTTCAGCAGACACCTCACTGCACTTTCAGAGTGAAAAGCCACACAACCACCAGCTTTGCATGGTACCACCATGGTAGCCTGTCTTCAGCTCCATCATCGGAGTGCCTTTTTGAGGGTACCCCTTTTTGGTGGCTTTAAAAGGGAAACCAGGAAAACCGAAGCCCATTTTGGGGGCTCCCCCAACCAAAAAAACACCCAACTACCACTCGCGCAATAGCAGTAAGGCATGTTTCTCTCTTGGTGACATCGCACTCCATCATCGGAGTCTGCGTCGCCTAAGGTGCTCCAAGCTCGCTCACTCGCTTGCTTTCGAGCAAAGGCCCAAATGAAATGGGGTGCTTTTATAGGCCCTCCAAAAACACAGCAACAACCAGGCCCCCCCGCTGGCCGGTAATTGGCGTCCCGGGTGAAGTGCTGGCAATTGACCAGCACTTGCTTAAAAATGGTTTTGTAGTCACATAGTTTTTTTGCCATCATGAACGTGCGGTGAAATGTCACTTTTGTTGAAACGTCACTTCAGGATACCGGAGGGGATCCGGTTGAGGGGTTGGGCTGACATGTATGATCATTGCACATGCAACGCGCGGGCGGGGGGAGGGGGCGACACGCTGGTGACACGCTCATATCCCAAAAAAGTGACCGTTCAACGCACATGTGCCGGCAATTGGCCACCCCCCGACACGCCATGACACGCCGTGACCCACACCGTGACCCACACCGTGACACGCTCCTCAAGAACCCCTCCCAACCTCAAACTTGCCCTCCAAACCTCAAATTTGCCGCTCTCCCCTTTCCCCTGCAACCCCATTCCAAAGGAGCCTGGAAGGTCACTTGCATCATTGCACAAATTGCACTAAGTACAGATGAGTGATACTTGATAGCAAATTGATTTTGCAGCCACTTAGACACAAAGTGACATCATTTTGCCCAAAATCGATGTGCCGGCAATTGGCCAGCCATTGGGGGGCGCTGGAACACAAATGAACATAATACAAAATATGATTTCCTGTTGGTTTTCTTTTAACACCAACAAAGGGGGATCCTCAAAAAGAGACACCCCCAAATGAAAATGTCTTTGATTTAGTCACTTTAGTCAGCATCATTCAAATAACAAGTTGCAGACACATCACCATGGGCCAGGTAGTCTCGCACCAGTGGTCTCAACCTCGGCTCAAGCTCAGTCCGGTGGGACATGTCCACGTCTGCCAGTCTCTTTGTTGCTGGTCCTTGCCTTCAGTCATTAAAACAAGTCCCAAATAGCCAGGCAGCGGGCTGATGAAGTGAACCCCTGCATCGGTCCAAAGCACCTGATCATTGGCTGAATGCCGGCGCATCACACCGAAGTGTGCTTCTCATGTCAAGTTTTAAGTGCAGAAAACCTCATAGCCCGACAAAGGCACGATCTCATTCCACTGAATGGCAGGATCCTTCAGGGTCTTCAGGACAACGTATGGCTTCCACACCTGGGCAATCTAACCATGTTTCCCCAATGCAAATCGGAGTGTAGAAGGAGTGGTGCTGGAACTACTTGAGCTAGCTCTTCTAAGAATGTATGCGCCTGCGCGGAACATCCCCGGGGCAGATATGGATGGACCCTATCAACAAATATTGCACTGGCCTCCTCCAGGCGAAAAGAACTATTTAAGAGGAGGAGGGGCCGTAGATATCGCCAGGGGGAGGGATCTTTGGTACATGCACAGGGACGGTGTCTGCATAATTACTTCCTTTTCATCATCAAGAGGCTTGGCTTCGCTTTACCCCAGCTGTGTCAAATCATGGGTTGGTATGGCTGCACGCATTGCAAATCATGCCGGGACCACGTAGTAGCCAACTTTCCCAGAGGGCGTCTTGCCGTTGGTAAGCTCACTTCCTGCCATATTTGGGGGTGTCTTTTGTGTCGGGGACCCCCTAAAATTGTGGTTTTCCTTTTGGTTTCCCTTTAAAACCACCAAATCATGGTGTCATTTCCGTGGCATGACGACTGAATTGGCGACTGAAGTGGCCGACCCCTGCCTCGCACCCAGTCGAGCAAATGCGCATTGCGGGATCGAAATTCAGCATCCAGGAACTGGCCTCCGAGCGCCCTTGACTCATTGGCCTCAAATGCAAGGCGAAGCCTCCTGGCCCTTTTTGCGATGGAACCTACCAAGGGTCCCTTGTTAAGGGAAACTGAATGGTCTTCCAGGACCACCAGTGAGGTTCCTTCCATGTTTGTGGATGGGAGGGTAATATAACCGCACCATGTTTAAAGAAACCCGGAAATGCTTCCCATCGCAGCATTTCTTGACCTGCTGCTATTGAAAACCACCCCTGAAACTACCTTGTGCTTTTGGAGGTGAACCGCTGTTTGAAAACATCTTTGGGCATCCTCTGGAAGAGTCAAGTGGGTATGGCTCAAAATGAAAGAGCTGGGAATACGCAGGTTTTAGTCTTTCTTCCATGTACCAAGGTGCCATTTTGGGTACTGATTTTTGAGTCACAGCCAAGTTGCCCCAAATTCCATTGCAGTGCTTGATGATCTTTGCTGCTCAGCCTCACAGCAGCCGTCGGCAAAATTCACGTGCACAATCCGTACCTCAACACGTGGAGCTGCATACTCTCACATACTCATCTGCACCACACATGCGAGACATCACACAATGACTTGCCGGGAATATATGTTTGAGAAATGTCCGTTGCGTCAACTCCTAGTGACCTGTTCAGCCAACCAAATATCAAGAGGAACCCTTCGCTCGTCTCCGTGACCTTTCCTATCTCAAAGCGTTTCTCATCCAGGCTGCATCAGTAGGCATTGTGATTGGCCTGTGCGCGTGCAATGGTCGTTTCGGCGACATGGACCTGAGCTAGGCAGATCAGCTGGTTGCTGTTTGCTTGGCATGCTGGATGCGAAAACCCTTTGCCACAGCAACCTGATACTGACAGAAATTGCACCTGAATGGGATAGATCGATGCCATGCACATGTCTTGGCCAGCGCAACGGTTTGCATGCGCATACATTGTAAGCTATTTTGTTTATTACATAGTACAGCTAAACATGACGGTGCTACGGTCTTGCGGTGGGAAGCCTTGCTTGTTCAGCCAACCAGTCTCGCGGATACCAAAAGCTGTTGGGATGCTGCCGGGCTGGACGGTCTTGCCTGCGTCATCATGCATCACAGTGAGATCCAGTTGGCAGGGTTAAATCATTCAGCGGATTGCGGGTGCAGCTCTTTGGAGCTTGGCCCCATCTGGAGCCTGCTCAGGGAGACTGTAGGTGCCGCTTCGCGTGTGTCGTGCTCTCCGGTTTACCGTCGGCCTGGTGCTGCGTTTGGTAGATTGTCTGCTCCAGTGGTGGCCAGGGCCGCCTTGCTTGCCCCAAACAATTGCCTTCGTTGCGGTGGAGTGTAGCTGTTCACTTGAACTGGCAGGAAGCGTTGGTGCAGCATCAATTTGGCGGGCACCTGCAAAGTTCTCTGGTGCCAGGGCGCTTCTGTAGTCCCAGAATCAACTTCTGACTGTCCGCAGTTCCAGCATACAATTGATCCAGCCTCACAGAGCGCAATTTTCACTATCCAGAATTCAAGTTGTAATACGTTGTAATAATGACCAATTCAACTGGCCAGGGTGTAAGTTGTAGTACCGATCAATTCAGGTGGCCAGGGTTCAACTTGTAATACTGATGTGTTTTTTTCCCCAAGGCAAGAAGCAATGGCAGCTTGAAGTCGTCTGCAAAAAAGCCGCCCAACTCCAAGGCAACAATCGCCTCCGGATGTCCAAACCAGCCGTCCAGAGTGACAAACTCGTTCTCCTCAGCTTAGCCGACTCGCCACTGAACTTAATCTGCAGCTGCCCGTTGGTACGAGCCAGGCCTTTGTCAGCAAGAAACCATCGAAAAGGAATTGGACAAACTGCTAGTCTCTATGGCTCAAGAAAGGAAACCTAAATGGCACCTTGCTGCATTGTGGCAACCAAGACTGAATCCTGCGTACCCCAGCTGTTCAAGTTTGAGCCACACCCAAGCGGTTGCAAACACCCTGTCTCAAAATCGGGAACCCACAAAATTGCTGGGTGTCCTGCTATTTCCCTTTGAAACCACCAAGAAAGGGGTATTTCCTTGTAATTGCCCAACCCCCCCCCCCCCAAAAAGAAAAACAAGAACAAAAAAACGACACCCCCAGGCCTCACATTTGGGTGCGTCTTTTTTCTTGTGGACACCCCAAGGTGGTGTTTTTGTTCCTCATGGTGTCCCTTTAAACCCGCTAAATAAAAGGATACCGACTCCAGAGACAACCTCCCAGACCCCTCCGGCCAGGCCGCAGAGTCAAGGACCCCCAGGCGCAGCTCCTCGACAGGGCGCAGGAAAGAGACCGATGGCACGAAGCCTGGGCGATCCGGCTCCAGCAAGTGCTGCATGCCTAAGCTCGCGTCAGTCAGTCCGATCTTTGCCATAGCGCAAGGCACAAACCGTAGAACATTTTTTAGCAAACAAATGACCATAGCACATAATTGTTCAGGTCTATGGCACTCATTTGGCTCCAAGATACCCAAGTTTGCCGAAATGAATGGGAATCTCAGCAACCACGTGGCCATGGCCGCCAAAGTTTTCCAGCTTCGAGTGTTCCTTGGCCGCAGTTCCATGCTCGCTTCGCCTTCTCCAGTACCCCAAGTCGTTCCAAGGCGCGACCGCACCAACATGATGCTTGGACGTGTCTGGCTGGAATAGAACTCTTGCGGGACATAAACCTGGACGCACCGCGGCCATGAACTTGTTTCATGACATGCAGGGTGAACGATCCAACAGGCTACGGACTAGTCCAGTGTTCTTGCAAGGCAGGAGGCATCAGCCCCATCGCTGTGCGCCAGTCTCGGGAACGGATTTTGAAGCCAGAATGTGTCCTGCCAGACAGTCAGTCGCATGCCGGGCATGCGCAAGTGCCGACCGACTGTCTTGCAGTTTTACACAGGAAATTCTCAGAACACGTTTGAAACCTCCAAAAGTGGCAGTTTTAGTGTAAACCGCAACTTTTGAAGGGAAAATCCATTGACCCCGGCAGTAGTCTCACCTAGTCTCACTCTGCTTCTGTTCGCACGCATTGTGAAACGCCCGGTGAGTCCATCTCCGTGAACAGGACATCCACCTTCAGCTGTGCCGCGAAGGCCAGCAACGAATACTTGGCAAGCTCCGGGAAGACAGACCTCAGGCATGCACACGCATTCCTGCGTCCGGTCGATGGAATTTCGTGACTGGGAATTAACAAACACAGTACATGTCATGTAGTAAACTACATACTACATTACATGATTTGCGAGCACACTCATGCACGCAAACTAGACGTGTTTGCTTGACAAGTTCCGACAACACTGGATGTTGTTGGCTGTAATTATGAGCTTCTTAAGATACCTTGCCGACCTCCTCTTGCTACCACTCCATTCCGCCAAATTGCACTGAAAGCATCGATCTTACCACGGCTGACATCCGAAAACTAGCTGGCACATAAAAGCCGGAAACGCGCTACAATGGCCTGCTGGGTGTGCGCTGCAGGCGTGTGTCCAAGACGACCTAAATCGAATGCGCCCCATATCAGGCAGTACCATACGCGGCGCGCTCTCCCTTGTACCTTCCTTGACAGCTATTAATGGAAGACATGTGTGCTCCCTCCTGTATACGCATATGTGAGACGCCTGAAGAAGTTGCAAGTTTGTTTGCTCAAGCCTTCTCCCAGCGACATGCACTGCAAGCGCAGCATGTTATGGGAAACCTCCGGCACATTGACCAATGCGACATGTGTCCCACAAGGCACAATTCAGACAAGAGTCAATACAGGCAGGCAGGAGTCCACCAATTCTATGCAGTCTCGGCGAATATGTTCACTTTGTGGGAGAAACAGGGAACGGCCGAGGATATCAAGACCTGCGCAACAGCCATGAGCCTTTCTTGTAATCCATGTAGGCAAAGTCACAAAAGCGCACGATGCTAGTGCAATGTTCGGAATGGTCACCCACGAACACCACATACTCACTTGCTCTTCAGGCCTGTTCACAGTCTTGTCGGAAAGCCACACTTCACAAATGTCTTGAGTCAAGCTTGAACCAGCAGGTCTTCAGCCGAAACATCAATGCACAAGCCATGCACCAAGGCGCCTGGCTTCTCCAAGTGTGCGACATATCGAGGGAGCATGTGGGCTCGTGCGGTAGGCAGAAAAACCACCAGCACTGGTCCAGGAGCAGCCCTGCTCAAGAGCTCGGCCAGCAGCTGGGCCTAGGCCAAGTCCCACTCTGCCGAAGGCTCCAAAACCAACCCGTCCAACAGCCTTCTTGGGTTCGGTTGCTGTGCTTGCCCCAATGTCATATTCGAAGTGACCAATTCGCTTGAACCCCATCTGGCAAGGGGCAATCAGGAGGGGGTGGATGCGCAGCTCACTCTTGGCATTTCATGATGCCTATCAGCCTATGCGTAGTGTCATGCAGTTGGGCTTACTGCTTGTAGCTTGCTGCGAGTCTTTCACGCTCCTCCGTGCCTTGCAATTCATGCCCCGTTTACGATGTGTGTCACCGTTGCGAAGGTGGGCTTATCAAGATTTGCGCAGGCCGGCGTTTGCACGGCAGCGGGTATATACATAGTGACAAAAGACCCATTCCCTTGCGAAGGGTAAACAAGGATTTCGCCTAGTGGGATGTTGACCTAAACGCAGTTCCCTGCTTGGGCAGTTTAAGCCCAACACAAAGCAAGACTAAACCTTCAATCCCACTCGGTTCGACTTGGCATAGCTTCTCGTAGCCGGCTTTGTATACGCAACAGTGGATGACAGCTGACGTGTGCATTGGGATTCCATTGGGTTGGTTGGCTGGTCGGCTGCGTGGCGTTGTAAGTGTGGAATGAGATATGGTTAGTTTGCTGCTTATTGTTTGACATCGGCTATGGCTCTTCCGAGCACATAGCCTTCGCTTCGCCCAAATCAAGCAAAAACCCTGAAGCTTTTTCCAAATCTGAACACTAACACGTTTTGGTAAGCATGCAAGTTCGGTGCTTGAACTTCAGGCTCGTCCGAAACGAAATCGCTTCCACTTTGAGTGCGGGCGGCAGGGGCAGGCTGCATATACGCGATTTTAAGCAACATTCCGAATTCTTTCTGCGTTGAAGGAAGCTAGCAACATGAATGACACGAGGATGATTGCAGCTGCCTACCGTATCACTGCTGACGCACAGGTGACATCCGCGCCCAACATGCGTGAACAGGTGGCGTCCAATTTGCCCAGCTGCCGCAGGTGAGGCTTGGTGGAAATCGAAGTCAGCCTGGGTCTGAAAGGGCATCGGCTGCAGATCCTCACGAGTCGCTTCACAAGCTGAGCTGAGCGCTGAGTGTCTGTAGACGGGGGCAAAGACATACCCTCCCACCAATTAAAATGGAACCGTTCGACGTTCGGGGGCTCCTGAAAGACACTTTTCCTTTTAAAGGGACCGGGTCCCTGTCAGGTTCAATGTTGATTGGTGGGAGGGTAAGCAAAATTCCAACAGCCAAGGATCCCGAGGTGCAAGGGCAACATCGTCCCAACGCTTCTTTGCGCAGGACAACCTCAACAGTGCCGCGGCGCATTGCAAGAAGAAAATCAAGAGAACCACCGAAAGGCAAGCAGTAAGTAGCCAAGATTCCGATGAAGTGTCGCAAACCTGAAGACGCAAGCATCAGTTGCATGCACAAGACCAGCTCGTGAATGCCGCAAGTAGCCAGGGAACAACGCCCAGCCAGAGTCCAGCAGGTCAATGATCCTGCAACATGAGCAAGCTGCCACTGGGCGGTAACGGCTGGAACATGCCCCCGTCCGGTTTTCTCCGATGATGCTCAGGGACGACTCCACCATCTTGAAAACGTCCAGGTCCCCTGAAAAAGCCGCAGCAAAACCCTCAAGATGCGGCTTGGCAACAAAATCGGGTACCGCGCCCGCCTAGGATGAGCCCAAAGGCCCTGAGGGCAAAGGCAGCCGCTACGCCATGCCTGCACTGCCTTAGGGCTGACATAGCACAGGTGGATGCACGAAATCCGTTCCCAGCGTAAGTCTGTAATGAAAGTGGCGCCAAACGGATTTCGCCCATCCACAGCATCAGTGCGTTGATGCAATTTGGGTGCGCAGCCGAGTCACGCTGTCCAAGTACCAATGGGGATGCCCTCATACTCCGCCGCTGAGGAGTATTTCCAAACGATGCCACTCGCCTCGCTGGCAGCAGCCTCCAGGGCGGGACCGGACAATGTCTCCATCTTGTCCTCCTCAAATTCCTCCAAAGCAGCCTCGGAGTTGGCTGGCCTTTGCTTTGGTGCGCATCCAAAACTCATTGCAAACAAGCCGCGGCTTCCACTGCAGCACGGAAATCGTCCTGACATTCGGCTTAGCATCTAGCTTTCCCCATAAAAAAAGGGAAACTGGAATCACACATGGAGATCTCCAGGGGTCGAAATCCCCCCTCCCCCAATTCCGCTTTTTTAAGGCGTGGGGGGAAGGCCATACATGGCCATGGGTCAAAATCCAAATCGCACCCCCAGTGAACATCAACCAATCCAACCACTAAAATAAAGCCTAAAATGGGTGGTGAATTCACCTACCAACCAAAATGGGATCCCATTGGTTTTGACCCAAGAAGGCGGCTCCCTGGCCAAGGCGCCCAGCGAATGGAGGGGTGAGGCAGCTGCTCGCAGGACCCTCGAGCCCGCGAGCCTTGGCCTTAAGAGCCGATCCGCCCCCCTCGAATTGGCCTTTAACTGGTAAGTGGACCTCCTGTCTACTTTTGAGCCACAGCCACTTTAATTTTTTGGTGACGGATCGTTGGACTTTAACTTGGGCTTCAACTTGTTGGTCGAATTGGCTTTTAACTTTTCGGTTGAAACCAGGGAGTTTCCCATTGGACGCACAAGTTGAAACTTTTTGCAGAGGGTATAACCCTTAATTGGCGGTTTGGAGCCCGGTTTGGGATTTCAACGGGTCCCTGGTTCTTGTAGAACACTAAGAAGAAGCCTGGCTTATCCTAGCTTTCAAATGCTTTCAAGCTCGGTTACTAGAAGCGCCTCAGGCATTACAACATGGGCATCGGCCAAAAAATCCACTGCTGTCCGCTTTTTCGTTTGGAGGGATTCCAGCAGAAACCGCGCTTTCTGGAAAGAGACCGGGCAGCTCACACTTCAAGATCTACCAACAAGCTCTAGCCGTTGCCTCGGCGTGGGCAAGTCTGGCTTAAGGCCTCCTGAAATTTGTCGTATTCCTTCTGGTTTCCCTTTAAATACCCTCAGGAAAAAGTCACCCCCAGCGGAGACAATGCCTTATCACCTTGGAACAAGTCCAGCGTCTCCAGAGCTGTCGTTTGCCCGCATACTCACATCTTGCTTGTTCACAGTGGGGATCCCAATCCGAATCCCAGTAAAACACCAGCGGAACAAGAGAAACCACCATCTAGCAAAAGGATTGAGGATTGAGTTCACACAACCCAGCATATACCTCAAATCGATCAGTTGGTTGCGGGCGAATGTCGGTGAACAGTCGCGAGAAAGCGCAGCAAGGGCCATCGAGTGCTGATAGCTGGAAGAAGTTGGAACACCTCAGCAGTGGCAAACAATTGATCATGAAAAGCACAGCGACATAAGTTGCTCTCTGTGAAGCCCTCCTGGCCACCAGCAGCGTCACCGGCATCAATATTCACAGCATACATGAACATCAACATCGTCACCACCAAACTCTGGTGAGGCGCATCATCTGCCTGCTCGCAGCTGCGTACACCAGCAACGTGCAGCGCCCAGCAAGCTGCTGCTCTTCCTAAAGGGCAAGCTGCTGCTGCATCCTGAGCGTGGAAGTCTCACACATCTGCTCGTTGACATGCTAACCTCGAACCGCACTAGTGCTTTCAAAGGCATCATGAAGCAAAAGCTCCCGTCAGCGAGGGCCCGAAAATTTGGTTCATTTCAAGAGGGCTCTTCGACTTCCATACGGGCATATCACTGAGGATGGAGCATTCTGCTCCAGGGCCACGTGGGCCAGCGCTAGGGTACTCGGCGAGAGCTCCAATCCTCCTTCAGCTTTCAAGGCACGGAGCGGAAGCGAACCACTGAAGAGACCTCCCGAGTCTAAATTGATTCCTCGAAGGAATGCCTTGGGATTGGGAAAGCTCGCTGTGCCCAGCGAATCCACAGCCTATGTTACATCCGGCTAAAAAGATGCGCAAAAAAGCACGCGCATTCTTTTCTGCCCACTAAGGCAGCTCCATTTTCTCGCTGGCAGGCTCAGGATGCAAAGTGCTGTGGGCCCCTCTCCGGCGGATCCCGGGATCCGGGGATCCTGGGATCTCCCGAAGGAAACCCTGATGCCCGCGCCCGGAACAAAGGAATGGACTGACGGGACGCCATGCACTGCACACCAAGGCTTATGATCAGGTTCCCACTCGCCTGCGATGAGCTGTTCCCGCAGCTCTGACCATTCAGCAGCAGCCCCAGCCTAGGCTGTCAGCGCTTTTCCCTGCATTTTTTTGAGGCTGAAGAAGGATGGCGCCAGCCTGCTCCTGTCTTTCTGGGAGGCTGGCAATCTGCCCAGCCCATTGGCAGTCGTAGTCAGGAAACTCGAAAGCCGCCGCCGAGCCTTCGGCGGTTGTGGAGATGCCCATCCAATCTTTACGACCCAAACATTTTTGGTTTTTTTTGGGGAGGGGTTGTTTTGCAGACCCCTACTACGAATGAACAACCCGCCCAAAGAAAGAAAGAAGAAACAAAAGAAACAACTAAACACTTGCCAACGACAGGGAAGCAATCAGCACTAAAAGGTTGAGCTGCTGTTCCACACGCTCTCCGCAATCATCGCGGCCACATTGCGCTGGAAGACACTGCCAACATGTATACCATGAACTCACGAACTGCGCCAGTGGACTTTGTGGCAGGGGCCGCCATGGAACTTGCAACATCGCTTGACATCACATCCTTTGACTTGTTGACTGCTATCATTGCCATGGCTTCTGCGTCTCAGCGGCTATGGGGAGTGCATGTTAGCTACTTGCGCATCAAACAACCGCACTCCGGAGGCAATGTTTCCAGCTGGTTGTGCCTAAATGGCATTCAATCGGATATCAATTCTGGAGTGACGCTGGCCATCATTGCTCATCTTTCCAGCTTATGACAGATCTCTTGGTTCGCAGGGTTCAATAAAAGCACATGAAATGTTCCTTCAGTGTGCCTCATTTTTTCCCCTGCCTACAAAGCAGCGTGCGGTCTAAGTTCCACAGCAAATCGCTTCCTGCCCAAGGACAGCACAGGAATCAGCCGTCCCCGCGGCAGGCTTAGCAGCAAAGGTCTGGCAGGCTCAAGACAGTTGCAGGCTGCACTAGCCATTGTGCAGTTGCAGCCCTCCGAAATACCGAAAGCTAGCTACGGTGGCAATATTTAGCCAAGGAGACTTCCAACGTTCCGGTGACGTTCTTCTCAGATGATACATTCGGCATCTCGTGAAGTGCGTCGGGACTCCCCTGGGTGACACAATGCATCCACAGTTTCTGGCCACAGCCCGCCCCAGGCCGTGGAAAATTCCCCCGCGGGCGGGCTCCGGGCAAACTCATTCTTCGATGCAATCGTCCAAGTCAAGGCCCATGCCTGCTCGAGGGGTGAGTCAGAAACAGCCCAAGCTGGTTGTGTCGACAATGTTGCTTCGTTCCGAAATCATAGTACTCAGTGCAAAACGGTGCTCACCAAGCCTTCTCACATGTAACTTGGCTTTTCACATGATCTTGCATGTAGGTTACATGGTTGAGACTTCATTACTCACAATGGTCTCTTTCAGCACAAAGGTTCGCCTTGGTTGGCATGCTGAATGCTGAGCCGCCAACTCAGGTCCATGTCCTCTCCCCTGGCCCAAGGAATCTGCTTAAATGTGAGCTGCAACAACTGGACATACTGCTGCAACGCATTTTGCGGCTTCGCTACCTTCAAGCTGGCGCAATCTCTTAATTAAATCCATCCGCTCTAACTTGCTTGCAGCCCACTGACGCCCGGCACAAGGCAGTATGTAGTTTTTGGTCTAGTCACCAAGAAGTGGCTGTTGGCTGCCTAGACTTGAAGAAGTAGTCCCGGGCTGTGCTTCGTCGGATTCCTGGGCACATGTTTCAACTGGGGGCTGATCAATATTCCCTTCGGCCCTCAATTGACCATGGGTGACTTTTCCCATTTAGTCATGAAATTCCTCCTTTTGTGGTGAATTTTCTCATGGTCACCCCATGTGTATCGGACCTGTTGATCATCAACCCCTCCCTGTCCAGCGCTTGCCAGCGCAACAGGGCCCAAAACACCAAGAAGTGCATGGCATGAGCTGCGTATCCGGGGCCCTGGCGCTTCTGCACGCTGAAGATGGCGCCACCGACGATGAGCAGTACCATCATCACCTCAGAGATGCGGACAAACAAACAGGCAAACACTTGACTTCCTGGGCGGATTTGCCAAAAAAAAGTCCAACTTATGTATCTCTAAAATTACCTTCCCAAAAAGTTGAAAGTCCAGAAACTTCGGGAGTGAGACTACCATCTCAGGACAGCTCAGCAAGTCTTCAAGCTGAGGTGGCTACCCCAGAAGGCACTCCGATGAACCACACCTAGGCGAGCAAACACGCCAGCGCAGCTCCTGCCAAAAAAGGCAGCCTTTCGCTTGACGAATGCTACAGTCGAAAGTCAAACATGTAAATCATAGCAATAACTGGTGGATAAGACCTTGTTGCAGCCCGGCAGAATACCTCCCGTTTGCACTTCACCGCATGTGATATGGCGGCTTCGCAAAGCTTCACAAACCCTTAGTTTTGATGAGATTTCTGTCAAAGACTTCTCCGTTTGAGACTTCCCCAAACTCAAACCGTGAATCTCCAGAAGAATGCTCTCGCTTCTCGGTATCATGAATTTTGAGGGACCCGAAATGGACATCAAAGTTCGGTGGGGGGCTTCTGTCTACCACTTTTCAGGGGGCCTCATTGAAAAATTCATGGCTGTATGAGACCACAACTAACCACTGGGCCCCCCGGGTCCCTGTTGCAAAAGGCTGCCAGCTGGGTAGCGTGCCAAACGTCGAGTCGTTGCTGTGTGCGCCATCTGCCCACGAAAATGTGGCATGCGGTGCGTGGGACAAGCTGCTGACGCCTGACTGAACCTCTTTTTCACTGCTTCTAACCTCCCAGCACTTTCTTCACAACCCTTCAACCCTTCCCATGGTAGCAAAAAAATGTGCTTATTGCGGCCCCCTACTAAAATTGAGCAGAACCCAAACCAAAAAAAAACGATACACTTGATGCAAGAACAGTGAAGACTTGAGTTTCACTTCTTTTGCCTGCCGGCCAAGACTGGTACAGCTTTCTTTTGGCGCCTGTCGGAAGTCAGCCTTCATCGCAATTTGGATCTGCTGCGCCTGGCATTGCGAACTCTGCGAACTCTGAGATGTCCAAAGCCTCATTGATGAATCAGATCAGTCCAATCGCCCGTCCTCGCAGGTTTTCGGCCTCAGAAAATGGGGTAACATCAACACATGGCCACAGTCAGGACTGGACGTGATAAAATTGGCACCCAATGTGCGTGGATCCGATTTAGGAACTGCCCCTCCCAGTTTTACACCAGAGACTGGAAGGTTTCCGACCGACTCTCAGACACCAAATGGACATACTACTCAGCTCACTCTAGGTGGTGGTTTGGTGGTTAGGTGGTTTCCCCTTTACCTTCCACAAAGAGGTTCAATTCCACATCCAAGCCGCCAATCTAAACCAGCAACCAATGCCACCTAAGGGTTACCTGGCAGCTTCTTCAGCGAACCGGCAGTTGATAACTATCACATCTCCCTGCTTTTGGTATCATGATTAGAGTTAGGTCCAGCTATAGAATGTGTGTTTTATTGTTTGCTTCACTTTGAGACACTGAAATGTAAAATGTATCCTAAGTCTAGGGTATCTTCAAGGACCTGACCCAGAGATGATGTCCGGCACACGCATCTCAGGGGCCTCAGCTTTCAGCTTGGCGCCGAGACTCTTTTTCAGACTTGGATCAGAGACACTCTTATGAAGTTGCTCTGGGAGCCGGTGAAAACACCTCAGAGTTTAGTTCCAATTCATTCCATGACCTTTAACAAAACACCTCCACATTGACATAGGTCTGGCCGGCTCTGCCGGATTCGATGGCGCAGCGTCCTTCTTTTTTGCGAAGACTTGCGGGCACTTGCAGCAAAACGCCGGCAAAAGAAGGTAGCCCCCGAACTCTGCGACTAGTAGGCCAACAGTGCAGCTTGGACTTCTACGGCGCCTTTTCTTCAAATGCTAGGTTGCAAGCGCCAGGTGCCACGATGCGACAGGTGCTGTCCAACGGGTAGAACCTGGGCGGAATGCAGGAAAACCTTGCTGAGGGCTCTCTACAAAAGACAGACGCATATAAGATCAGCTACTCTTACAAACACGGACTTTGAGGATTGATGAGAAGGGGATTTGAGAAGCACATGTCCAATCACTCGTGGAAATCAGCGCTCGAACAAAAGTTGCCACGAAGCAAGAGCCGGTGATAGCGCTGGCATCCTTTTTTGGGCAAATGGTGGCGCGCAGGCGCTCCCACAAGACGCATACGCTCCGGAATGGTACGTCATTACCACGGTGTCTTGGTTTACCCTTTCCGTTTCAAGTTCCCCCAAAATGCTTTTCGCTTCTCGGTTTTCCCCTTGGCCCCTTGATTTCCAAATTGGAAACCAGCCAAACAACAGGTACCAACTCCAACAATGACACCCCCATTTTGGGGGACCGGTCAAGCGCCAGGGTTCCGGCACGAAATGTTGGGCTGCAGCCATGCCAGAGCTACGGAGCTTCTCTTGGCATTCCACGGCATCCTTGCGAAGTGGATGTAACAAGGGCGGCTCCTCGTATTTCAGGTTGGACCTACCAAGATTTGAGGCTTCCCTGGTGCTTTCATGAAAAAGGCCCTCAAATGAGAACACCACAACAAAGCCAGGTCCAAGGCCCCTAGCCCGTTCATGGCGGTTCATCCTGCACTGGACATTTGCGAGGAATTTGAGGAACATGCCTTTCCCACCCAAAAAGCCACCGAAACGCTGCGCAGTTCGGCGCCTTGACCTTGGTTGGAATGGGCTCTCCGACTGCGGGTCCATAGCCCACATTCATCCTGAGAACCCGGACACGCGAAGTCATGCGTCCGTGTTGTCCGGAACAGCGAAAAAAACTGGAGGGGGGGGGGGGGGCGAAGAGGTCTGTTCTTGAGGGTCCCGTTTTTGGTTGGTTGTGTTAGAGTTTAACTGTTAAAGGGAAACCAAACGTAAACCAATCATTTTCAGGGGGTCCCCCAACCAGCTGCAGCGGGGGGCCTTCTTGCAGCCACAGGCTCTTGAAGCAACCGCTGTCCACAGCTTCCACCAGCTTTGCAGTCTCCTGTCCGTCAAAGCGACGGACTTTGCGTGATGGCATGCTAGTTCTCAGGAGCCATGGATTCTCAGTAGTGGACCACCGGCAAGTGGTTGCATGAGGGTCACACTTGGCAAGGAGCTTGCTATACTGACTAAGTCCGGCCTACATGCTTGGGTGAATACGTTCGCACATACACATGTATATATATATATATGCGTAAGTGCATACACATATATATATATATATACATACTTACATACACCATATTGCCAATGAGTCAGGTTCAACTTCTTAATTACCTTGTTTTTTTCACTTGGCTGCTGGGATGGGCAGCTTCGGGCTTTGCCTTCGGCAACGCCTTCCATGCTGTCCCAGGTCCTAGGACGAGAAGCCAATCCGATTTCTCCCCACAAGCTTCATGGGAGGTACGCGGGCTTCCGCGGGCTTCATGCCCGAAATCCGAAATCCGAAATCGGCACGCGGAAGTACCTGAGTACCTGGACCTCGGGCTGGCCCATTGGCCCTGAGCTCGGCAAAGGTGGGCCGGGCAACGTGCAAAGCAAAGGCTGGGCAACGTGTGAAAACTTTGGCCAAAATTAAGGTGACTCAATCAGACTGCACTGCCAAACGACCTCTGCAAAACCATGCACAAAGACACCTACGGTCAGGAAGCCTGACAAAGAGCTACTGCCATGTGGCAGCGCGGATTATGAATTTGCCTGGAGTTCCAGGAAAGCGATTCCAGCAGCAGCCAAGGCCCAGCCAGCTCATGAGTCATGAGTTGGCTTCAACAAGCGGTCGAAGTTGCATGAGACCTTTGCGCATAGCCTCCGAACATATGTGCAAACAAGCTGCTTTGGCCCTTCTGGAATGCCAAAAGCGCACAGCTGGCCGTGAATTCTTTCGCCTTGCCCTGCGCTTACCTCCCCAACTCTGAGATGGCCTCATTCCAGCCTCTATTTCATCTTCACGTTCATGGGAAGGCTGCATGCAAAGCGGTGCCAATTCAAAAAATGCAGGGGCTCTTTGCTTCAGAGAAGGGTCATTGAGCTTGGCAAAGAGATGCTTAAAGAGCCCCAGCCAGAACAGGGCACGCACTAAATGGATGCAAGGGGCAATCGGCAGCGAAAGTTGCTCGCTCCTTGCATTGACTTGACCTAATCTAAGAAAGAGGAGAATGGTCGCGCGCGCGGAAGTCTTGCGCTTGCAACTCGAAACGCAATGCCTCGGGTCACTGAACAGCCACCTTGCCAGGCACAGGTTTTGCTCATGGGAAGTAGGCGGCGGGCGGGGAGGGGGGCGGGGAGGGGGAAGGGGGGGCCAAAACGCAAGAGTTATGTTGATTTCAAGCCCGGGGTGAAGGAAGAAATAAGCTGACCAAAGCGAGGCTGAAACAAACATACAGTAGGGTGAAGCGTCACCGCCTAGCATCTTGCCCCCTGTTGTTTCCGAAGCGGGACGTGGCGACGTCTGCCTAACGTCTGCCTGATTTCTGTCAGATTCCATAAGCGCAAGTTCCCTTCCCATTTCCCATCGCCACGTCCGAAAGTCACTTCAGCTATGGGGATTGCAGTCATTTGGCCATGGGGCATAACCTATGGCTCCATTTTGGGGTGATTCATTTGCCGCCTATTTTGACGTTCACCAGGGGTTTCCTGGGTTTTGACCCACAGCCATTCCAGATGCCCACCTCATGCAATGGCGCCCAAGCATGGCGCAAGTCCGAAAATGCGTCGCCAAGCTCTCCTGGCCAGCGGATGAGGAAAACCGATGCCATTGGGTGGGTCCCCTAAAAAAGGTACACCCAAGTATTCCCCGGAAAAAAAGAAAGAAAGAACACAGCCTGTAAAAGTTCAATCCAAGCATCCATGCAGCAAAGCAAGCTGCTGATAGTTCAGTGAGAGAGCTTCGCAATGATGATCCATGGCATGCCTGAAAATCTGAAAATGGCATGGCCGGCGGTCTCAAAGCATTCTTTGGTGATTGGAACTGCCACGCGTGCAAATGGAATGCAAATGGAACTCAATGGGTGAGTCTTTTCAAGAGGGTACCCCGTGTACAACTGTGTGGTGGCTTTTGTAGGGAAACCAAGCGGAAAACCGACGCCATGTTGGGCGTCCCCCATGCAAAAGACCCCAAGCCCACACACCAGCCGTGTAGTAGCTACACAGCCCCGCACATGACAAGCTTTTACCCTTGGCCTGGAAATAAAAAAATAAACCTTTTGGAACCTTGACTCAAAATCAGCCAACACGGGGACAGTCAAAATTGAACAACCCCCCCCCCCCGCAAAAAAAAAAAAAAAAAAACACACACACACACAGAAAAGGTCGGCTTTTTTTGTTTCTCAAAACTTCCTGAGGCACCCAACGTGCCCTTTTTTTTAGGTACGAGAAAAAAACGCTCGAATTACCGATTTCTGCTCGACCCCCAAAAAAACGCTCGCCCTTCCAAAAAACGCTCGACCACATCCCCTTCTTCCATCCAGAGGAAGGCGGGAGTGTTACGTTTTTTAAATTTGCACTCGTTTGCGGATATTTGCGCTCGTTTTGCGGATATTTGCGCTCGTTTTGCACTTTGATTTCTGCTCGCTCCTTTTGAATTTTCAGCGACCGATCATCTTGGAGGACCGACCAGCCCGGTTTTGGGAAAAACGCTCGAAGCAGGAAAAAGTGTACGTCTACCATATTTTGGTGACGACCCCTGGTTTTGCAATACGTTTGGGCTAAGGGCAGAAATTTATGTAACGAAGGGTGCTCCAGGTTGCCTCGAACTATAATCAAAACGTGGGACAAACCAAAGGTGAACATGTCGAATTTTCGAAGCCCAGCGGCAGCCGGTGCTGAACATCCCGCTCCAGTGCCTCCAGTTGACGCGAATGCTAGCCGAATCCAGCTGCAAGTGCGGAGCTTTCAGATTTTAGTCCATGTTTCCATTTACCAGGGCAACCCCTTGTAGGGTTACCAACTATTTTTGACAACCACAGCCAGGTCCCTAACCAGAACTCCTGGTAGCTCTCCGAATGGCTCCCTAAAGAATTTCTGTGATACCCCCGGTTCCGAGTCCGGCTCCCTTCCAAGCACCAGCTAGAGTTGACCCCGATTTAAACCATCCAACTGGTGGTTTCCTTTAAGGGGACTGGGTTCGTTCTCATATTCCCTGAGCACCAGCAAGTTTGCGTGGCCCGAGGTTAACCTGCCTATCGCACCAGCAAGAAGACTTCAGCCCCCAAGCCTTGCGACTTCTGGCTGCTCGCCCCATGTGATGCGCCACGGCGCCCAGTGCCTCAAGCGGCCAAAAGGCGACACAGCACGGATAGCTTCGCCAGTTTCACCTCAAGAAACCCATCAAAACCTGTAGGTCTCCAGGTCCCCACGTCGTGCTGCAAAAGACAGCTTTGGCCAAAAGCAAAATCTGCACCCGGCCTCCAGTGAGACCTCATCATCTGACGATATCTGCGTCGAGCGCCTTGTGGAGAGTGGAAAGCCAAAGGCACGGCTCAAATGCGGCATGCACTCACATCAAGCCCAACACTTTGCCTTAAGAATTCAAGCCAAGGTACTCTCGTCTCAACTGGCCTGCGGCATGAAAAGCGAGGACAGGATACTCTTTCTTTTTGGTTACGCATTCGCTGAGGGCCACGTCATGCGCGGTCACGCCCCCCCCCCCAGGCTACCCACCAACCTAGAAATCAGCTTGGGTCACATTCAAAAGATGACAGGCCACTCGTGCGTTGACATTCTTTGCCTACCCTGCGGCATGAAGGCAGATTGCCATGTCATGACCTGATTTCATGCACGAGCCTGCTTCGTTCATGTCGACACCAGGCCCACAACAGGTGCATTCGGGCTCCGCACGCCGCACAGGCACGCGCGTCTCCTGCATCCAGCAAGCAAGTGTCTGACCCGGACACTTGGATGGCCAAACCCGGGCTCAGAACTCTATGGTTACGCAGGTTTTAGCCCCAGGGTTACATCTAAACTTTGGGTACCTATTTTTCACCCACCCCCAGTTGATCGTGCGGCCCTCCTGAGCTCCAAGAACGTCCAAAGTGGACTCAGCGATCGAGCTCCTCGATTGCGGCAAAAGGAACCGCAAGGCCTTCCGATAGGACTGAGTCAGCGGCGTACGTCGCCTTGAAGGCGGGCATTCTGTAGACATGGTCCGCACCCAGGTCTTCCGGTTGCGGACTTCCACATCGCTGTCCTGACAAGCCAACTGGCTGCATCCCCCATAGGAAGACTTCGTGGTTGAGCTCGCTTCCCAACACCAGGTGGCTAAAACACAGAATCAAAAAATCAAACTGAGCCTTCACCTGCATTGCAGCAAGAGACGGCAAGACTCTCTCAACTTGGCCATACATAAAGAAAGCCTTCACCGTTCCTTTGAAGGGAACAAACGCCTCCCTCAACGAGCCCTTCTGCACCATCAGGAGTTTGGGGTTGACACCATGCAAAAGCCTCGCGATTCCCCAAGTCTCCTCCATCTCTTGGGACAGATGCCGCAGGGGTCGCATCAAGCCCTGGCCAAAGCCATGCACAGGTTATCAGCTTCCCCCGAATTGGTGCTTTGCGGATTTCGTTCCACATTGGTAACGGTACCGTCCAAACCGCCTTCAAAAAGCAAGCTGGCGCTGGACTTGCTTCTGCATTACCAGAATTCTAAACTGGCGAAACCAATACCTACCAAGCCACCTGTGAAACACCTTTGGCAAATCACGCTACGACTTTTGTTCAGGTGCCCCAGCACCATCAAAGACCAACACGTGGAACCACATGGGCCAGGGCGGCCAGTCTAAGGGGACCATAACCGATACCAAACCAATCGCAAGACAGAGAAAGCACCTGGTGGAAAAATGCAGCCACCATCTGTCAAACACCTTGGCTTGAAAACACGACACCCCGCCGTGTGGATACTAAATAGCCATATTTCATGACAAATTGGAAGGCTTGACTCCATCTCACTAGCTTACACGCTCGCTGATTTCAGGACTGAGTGCGTAAAACCTGTGTGCATGCAGCATG